TAAAGAACCATTTTAAGAACCATCATTTTTCAGTGTGTAAAATGTTTGACACATTGACATGAATTTCTGAATTTCAGTATTTGGTGGTGTCCTCCTTTGCTTCAGTGGCAACTCTCGAGCTGCATGAACTCCACACGTTTTTGATGAGCTGATCAAATTCACCTGAACACGAGCTTCAGAGGAAAGAATAAATCTGTATTGTCACAAATTTGCTTTAATTTAAATAGTGACCTAGAAATAGTGCAGATTCTTTCACTATATTTTTTTTCATAGCTTATTATTTTAAATGACCATTAAGTCCACCACCTTGTATTTACACTCATTGTCCATTGTATCAGCTCCACTGATCATATAGTTTCACTTTGTAGTTCTACAGTTACAGACTGTAGTCCATCAGTTTCTCTGCACACTTTGTTACTTTGTTTCTCTGCGTACTTTACCTGTTCTTCAATGGTCAGGACCCCCACAGAGCAGGTATTATTTAGTGACACTGACATGGTGGTGGCATGTTAGTGTGTGTTGCGCTGGTGCGAGTGGATCAGACACAGCAGTGCTGCTAGAGTTTTTAAACACCTCAGTGTCGCTGTTGGACTGAGAACCAAAAACATCCAGCCAACAGCGTCCTGTGGGCAGCGTCCTGTGACCACTGATGAAGGACTAGAGGATTTTTACATCTACAAGGTGGACCAACAAGGTAGGAGCATCTAATAGTGGACAGTAAGTGGACACAGTGTTTAAAAACTCCAGCAGCACTGCTGTGTCTGATCCACTCTCACCAGCACAACATACACTAACACACCACCACCACCCAAATAATACCTGCTCTGTGGGGTCCTGTGGGGGTCCTGACCATTGAAGAACAGGGTAACAAAGTATGCAGAGAAACAGATGGACTACAGTCTGTAACTGTAAAACTACAAAGTGCTGCTATATAGTCAGTGGAGCTGATAAAATGTATGAGTGTGGATACAAGGAGGTGGACTTAATGAAGTGGCTGATTGGTGTGTATCACATTACTCTGCATCTCCTTTATGGGAATGTTTTTTCAGTGCATGAAAACAAAATAAATTTTAGGCATTTATACCTTCTAAATTCTTTTAAAATTTGGTGGTTGACCATCCAACCGTATATTCAAATAAAAAAAATGTATTAGAAACTATTAAAATTGTAACGTTACAAAACAGTAAAAACATATTTCCCTTTTCCTTACATTTATTTTTGACTAACAGGTGATTAGTGCAGAGGTGCATGCAGCTCTAAAGGACCCCCTCCTGAGAAGGTGTGGAGTGTTTTCCTAGAACGGGGATTTCCAGAGCAGTGAAGCGAGCCGCCCTGCGCTTCCCAGTCTGAAGCCTCGTCGCTCTGCCATTTCCTGTTTTCTGAGGTAACTGCTGGTACGACTTATGAACAGAAGAGTATAAACATTACCTCCCCCCATAAACACACACAAGCAGTGTCCCTCGGGGGTCGGGCCGGCTCCACGCATACCTGCACCGGGTCCGCCATGCGTGTTTCCAGGAGGAAAGTTCACTTATAGCAAAAGTTCTGCAAAAAAATCAAGTTTACACGAAATGCAGTCAGCCAAGACACAGAAGTCAGAAGTGTGCTGTTTTACTTTTTTGCACTGACGAGAACAGCTGACGCAGGATTCTCACAGCATCAGTTTCTCACATGCAGAACTGTCAGTGCTGGAAGCTGATGCTGAAAAGACGTTGATGGCACCTAGAAGTTGGTCCCACTAATCAGCCCTGCTGTAAACTGCGTCAACAATTAGTAGGTATTTTTAGTGAAGTAACCATTGAGTGCCTAATAAACTGGCTGCTTAGTGTTCTCTATTACCATAACATACTGCGGAATGATTTAGGGAAAGTATGTAATTGTGAATTTTCTTACCAATTTTGCAATTGCAATTTAAACCAACTGTAAAATAACAGCTTTAAAATCATTTTGATGCTATACTGACTTATAACAGTGAGAATGTCTCTGTCTTCACCACTCCGGGCCAGAGCTCCTGCTATGTAACTTTGGAGGAGCAGCATGAGAACCTCTCGCAAGAGCTGTGTAATGCTTTACAGCACCACGTCACACACCAACAACTCAGCAGGTACAAAAAGAAGCCGCTTGGTATTCCCAGCATGGACATCATGGCAGAGGCTGCAGAGAGACCAAAAAAGACACTGTCAGAGAACGAGAGGAAGAGTGACTGAGCAAGAAACCTGAAAAGAGTAAATCCTGGACTGGCTTTTACTCGTTGGAGCTAAAAGAGATTAAAGAATGCAAGACAGTCTCACAGCTAATGGGAAAACAGCGAAACTCCGCCAGCAGAGTGTTCATTCCTACCAGTGTTATTTATGAAAGACTGCGCTGTAGGCTGTAACATTATCTGTGTCATTCCTGTCTCACAGAGTTTTGTAGTTTTTCCAGATGCCAAAAATAATCGAATCTAAGTCCCGTTTCAGGCTAGCATGCAAAAATTCTTCTTACGCCAAAATGTTTGGTCAGTCTGTCAATCTCAACAAATAAGCCTTGAAAGTTTACAGCCTCCTGGTATTTTTCTACTTCAGTCTTTCTTTCTTTCTTTAGCAGCGTGAGCTGTTGTAATTACCTGTGTAACTTTCTCTGCTGTTCTTGTGAGCCAAGCTCGCCAACTTTCAGCTGTGTGTGTGTGTGTGTGTGTGTGTGTGTGTGTGCACGTTTGCATTTTTTTTCTAGAAATTAGACTCCATTAATGTACCACGTTACTCCATAATTAAATGTTAGGTTAATGTTTCCTGCTTCTGCTTCTTCTTCTTCTTCTTCTTCTTCTTCTCTTCTTCTTCTTTTTCTTCTTCTTCTGGTGTGCTTGTATACAGCTTTTTGATCTGGTGTATGGTTTTCATACAACAGTCATTAATTTCTCAATTTTTTCCTATAAGAATTAATGTGGTGCACAAATCTACCTAAAAAGCACCATTTTACATACAGTATCTCAGGGCAGGCTCCCGAGCTCAACTCAATGTTGTTCTGACCCGCACTCATCTGTTTGCCCTTTTTCTCACCAAACTGCACCTCACTCAGGGCAGGTCCCCAAGCTCTAATCCACAGCCACACTGCCTCACTCCTCTATGTGTCATTTTTTTATCACTTGTTCCTCCAATAGACTCCCATTCACTTTCAAAGACAACCAATTGACAATTGACTAAAAAACACTCAGTAAACACACTGCACACCATTGCAACTTCCTAGTAACACTTTAGCAACCAACCCTTATACGATAGCAACTGCCTAACAACACCTTAGCAACTGCGCAGTCACTCTGCATTTTCTTCAGGAAAAGAACTGTTCTAGTTAAAAGTGCGCCTGGGTTTCTCATTCGCCAGCTTCTTGTTTGAAGTTTCCCGTTCCTCCTTAAATGGTGTGGGAATATTCAACCAAGAAGCTGGCGAACGAGAAGCTGACCTTAGCCTCGTAAAAAGTCAAACGTTATGAAACATTTTACAAGAAACTGTTCTACTTTTGTGGAAAGGTGAGTTATCCTGCCATGCAAGAGAAGCAGCTATAGCTAAGCTAAAGCTTAAAGCAGAGCAAAGCACATCTGTGTTTTTGTTCATATTATATTTTTTAGTCTATACTAGGATGTTAGAACATACTGAGACACATTAACAGTCAAGATGGTAAAACGTTACTTCAATGAAATGGACATAAAATGTTGTGGCTCCCAAAGTAGATTGATTTTTCGTTGAAAGGACAAAATGGCTCTCCTTAACAATGCTTTAGGTGAGCCCTGGGCTAGGCTGACTAGGCTGACTAATGAGCTTCTTTGTGTAGAAGATGATAATTCTACATCTGTTAGTGCCATCGCTTGCTAATTGCTGGGGTAAAAGCTTCCATCACTTGTCAGCTACACTAGCCTGGCAGCTCAAAAACTTAGAAGCAAACTTAAAACACAGGCAGCTGAAAGATGTATTTGTTTGGGTCTGGACGCCAGACAGTCAGCTTAGTCTGGAGCTGTGGGTTTCCACTCAGACCATAATTATAGCTTTATAATAATACCTGTGTGTGCCAAAACATTTTTAACCAGCCTCATTGCTGGACCAGGAACACAAAGGGAGTGAACTGAAACAGAGCTTTGTTTAGCTTTATATAAAAAGAAATACACTCACCATCCACTTTATTAGAAACCATTTACTTCTGCTTCCTCTCACTGGCCACTTTATTAGAAACACCTGCCTTGTGCTTCCACTGGCCACTTTATTAGAAACACCTACCTTGTCCTTCCACTCACTGGCCACCTTATTAGAAACCCCTTGTGCTTCCACTCACTGGCCAGTTTATAAGAAACAGCTTGTGCTTCCACTAACTGGCCATTCTGTTAGAAACAGCTTGTGCTTCCACTCACTGGCCATTTTATTAGAAACCCCTTGTGTTTCCACTAACTAGCCACTTTATTGGAAACACCTTGTGCTTCCACTCACTGGCCACTTTATTCAGCCCACTCTACTCCATCCGTTATTCGTAATTTTCTGATCACATGGATACAGCAGTAATGCTGACATGATAGCGTGTGTGGTGCTGGTACGAGTGTGTCAGACACAGCAGTGTTGCTGAAAATACGTCAGTGTCACTGCTAGGTTGACAGTATACCCTCCACCCAAAAATATTCAGCCAAAAGCTGATCTGTGGTCAGAAACTGTCCATTAATGTGGGTCTAGTGGTCGTCTGACTCAAACTGTGCTACAGTCTCTAACTACACACTAGCAAGGTGGAGCTATGAGAGAAGGGTTTCTGATAAAGTGGCCGGGCAGTGGAATAATAATCATTAGTGAGTGAATGGAGCCTGTGAGCTGTGAGCCGAATGACTGGCTCTGTGTTCGCAGCGGAAAAAATGTATCGGCAGCGCTGAGCTTAGTAAGCAAGCGCAAGGTCACTTCTCTGCCCCAGACAACATCTCAGCCACTCAGCTGCTGCGTCTTACTTCCCCTAAAGTCGTCACATCATGTCTCCAGTTCCTCCTGCAGTCGCTGACGGTTACCTTCGAGCTCATTTGTGGCCTTCGCCCTGCACAGCTGCTGCTTTAGAGAGATTTCATATGTGCAGTTTGTAAAATACAGCCGCAGGACACGAACAGCTGCAGACAGAGGTTTGGATGCACCTGATTGAATGTATATTTTTCATAATCTTAATAACTATGTTTAGTATCATTTTAAAAAACGATGGTTCCTCAAGGGCTCTTTAGTAAAGACAATGGTTTTATACAGAATCATTTGCATGCTTAAAATAGTTCTTTGCATGGTGAAATGGTTCTTCAGATTGATGGAGAATGTGTTGTTTTTGAAAATGGTTCTATATAGCATCAAAAACATCCTGCTATTGCTACAAGCTTGACATTGTGACAATAGAACCATATACAACATATTGTCCATCAATTTGAAGAATCAGTTTGCCAAGCAGAGAACAGAGTTTTAAATATGTATTTTGTAATGTTAGAATAGTTTTTGGTGTTAAAATACTTCAAGTTTACTTCTAGACTGGATAATCTGAAAGTGGACATTAAAATTGTTTGTATTATATTTCACTTTTTCATACATGTATTTATTTTAATTTTCTGTTGCTCTGTTAAAATGACCATTTAAAGTTAAATTAAGTGAGACAAACTCACGTTTGTGCCATATTGCTTGATGCATTTGAATGATTTGTGCTTAGGTTCAAAGAACATGTGGAACAAAAGACATTTAACATCTCATATACAAACACTAAAGGGGAGTTCCACCAGTTTTTCATACTTTCTGTATAATTCTGTGTGTGAGATGTAATCAGAGTGATTCAGAGTGGTTTGGTGTAAAATGGTTAAGATGTCTTTACAGTGGTGGTTATATGAACCAGGTGTCGCCATGACTACAACACAAATATAGACATTTTATTTACTATCCAAAACCACCAGTGAACCTACACGTGTCTTCTGAGTTTATATGGAATGTTGATGTTGGGAAAATAGTGGAAAATCTGAAATAATAAGTTTTCTTTGGGGGGTAGTTTGCCTCACAGCACCTTGCATGTATCAATCCATCATGAATGGATATTAAATAATACATTTTAGGCCAAAAAAATCTTCTCAAAATTGTCGTAAAACAATGTTTCAGATCAGGCAGTTTATTCATAGCAATTTCATGTTATAACTTTATGTGAAGGAGCTTTTAGAGGTGGACGTCTGGTTCCTATCATCACCACTGTTAACAATTCTGACTCTAAGTTTCCCTAGAACGGAGCATTTCCCTTTAATGTGTGAAAGACGTTTTGATCTGAGACAAATGTAAACAGTGAAGCTGTGGCCTTCACTCTCGAAAAAGATGTTCTTCATAGGTTCTTTAGTAAAGACGGTGGTTCTATATGGAACCATGAACACTCACAAAACCTTTTGCATGCTTAAATGGTTCTCTGCATGGTGAAATGGTTCTTCAGACTGATGGAGAATGTGATGGTTCTATAAAGCACCTAAAAGGGTTCTGCTCTTTTTACAAGCTTGACACTGTAACAATAGCAGAACCCTTTTTAGTGCTATAAAGAACCACCCCATTCTCCATCAATCTGAAGAACCATTTCACCATGCAGAGAACCATGTAAGCATTAAACAGTTCTATCATGGTTCTAAATAGAGCCACCGTCTTTACTAAAGGACCCTTGAAGAGTCATATTTTTAAGCGTGAACATATGGAGTTAAGTTTATAAATCTCTATGTTCTCAGTGTGGTCAAGCCTGGTCTTTTCAAAGCTTTTGGGGAAGCGTGCTGAGCTCCTCCTGAAGCAGGAGTGACGTCTTCTGTGTGAGGCGTCTCTGAGTAACCATCACTCTTTCTCTGAAAGCTGTGTGTGTGCAGAGAACAGCAGGTGTGTGAGAGTCTGCAGCTGCACTGGCAGAGCGAGAGCTGTGACTAAAACAGAGAGAGCACTGAAACTGACCTCAAGACTGACCATCTGTGGGTGGGTCCTTCATCGTCAGTGCACTATGGTAAAGTCAAATTTTATCTTTCACCCTCTTCTCTTCCTGATGAGTCTGACTCTGTCTTTGCTCATGTTTCTGCTCCGTGTCCTCATTTCTGTGCCATTATGTAACTCTTGTGTTGTTTATCTGGTTTCTGTGAAGCACCGTATTTATTTATTTATTTATTTATTTATTTATTTCACTTATTTTTACCAGCTGTTGGCCGTTTTTCTTTTTATTTATTCTCAAATAGTTTTTGCAGGCTCTGAACTTTGAAGATCACCATGCTCATAGTTTTTCCGCCTTAATGTTACAATTAGAGATGTTGATGATTAACTGATTAACCAGTGACTGAAACAAAAACATTAATGTTCAGCCTATGCTTTCAGTTAACTCTCGATAAACGGTTCACATTTGAATAGTAGGTTTTTCGTTCACCTTAATGACCTTTTATGAGAGTAGAAGAGCGAGACGTGTTCCGGTAGCTCAGCTTAGTGATGCATAACTTTGGCTTTTCTCCTTGGCTCTTGTCTCCTCAACTGCGCTTAATTTTAACCAGCAGTGTCAGAGCTGTAGAGAAGTCAACAAGTGGTCTTTACTGTCATTCCACATGTAATTGTATATATCATAACCAAATGTGGTTCTTTAGGCCTCAAACACACAACAGCAACATATCACACAGAACTACACACATTACGCACATTACACAGAACTACACACATTACACACATTACACAGAACTACACACATTACACACATTACACAGAACTACACACATTACACAGAACTACACACATTACACACATTACACAGAACTACACACATTACACACATTACACAGAACTACATACAATACACAGAACTACACACATTACACAGAACTACACGCATTACACACATTACACAGAACTACACACATTACACACATTACACAGAACTACACACAATACACAGAACTACACACATTACACACATTACACAGAACTACACACATTACACACAATACACAGAGCTACACACATTACACAGAACTACACACATTACACACATTACACACATTACACAGAACTACACACATTACACACAATACACAGAGCTACACACATTACACAGAACTACACAGAACTACACACAATACACAGAACTACACACATTACACACAATACACAGAACTACACACATTACACACATTACCCATAACTACACACATTACACAGAACTACACACATTACACACATTACACACATTACACAGAACTACACGCAGTGCAGACACACAACGGAGTGCAGAGTATACAATAAATACACCAAACCTTAAACACACAGAACAATAAATTCACCGAATAGTAAATATACAGAACAATAAATAAACTACCAGATAATAAACACACCAAACAATAAACACTAGACATGATAACAAAACAGTATATATACATATATATGTATATACACACACACACGTAACATTATGACCACCTCTTTGTTTTTACGCTCATTGTCCATTTTGTCAGCACTGCTGGGTCTGATCCACTCAGACCAGCGCAACACACACTAACACACCACCACCACCACCACATAATGAAACTAATTTCTTACAAGGTTCAGTTTGTATGAAACTGTAAAAACTTAAGATGTTTTGGATGATAAACGGAACTGTAAGTGATTTCATGATAAGTGAGAAATCTGTACAGCATTGAGAATGAAAAGATAAAGAAACTGACACCCACAATGCCTCATATTTGAAAAACAAAAACCAAAATATCACTAGTTAAACTGATATAAACAGTGTTTTTTGCGAATAAACAGAAAAATGATCACTTCCATATTTCTAACAATATGTAAACTGTGAATAAAGTGTTGCTTTTTTTTTTTGGTGTTTAGCTTATAGCATTTTGATCTACACTCTATGAGTGCACTTGCACCACAGCTGGTGTGGAGGGTTCAGGGTGTGGTAAATTGGTGTGTGGAGGGGTTTGCCGTGTCTGTCTGTGTTACAGTAAAGGTGCAGACGGTGTTTGAGCTGCTGAAGCGTCTCTGTTTTTGGACACTGCTTTTCTTTTTAAGGTCGAGGCTAATTATAACTCAGCCGAACGTGTTCCGCCTACACGTTTATAGAGAGAGAGACAGGATACACATCAGATCCTGTCCACCGCTCACTCACTTGCTCTCTCTCTCTCTGTCTCTCTACAGGAAGTTTGTGGTTTGGTATGTTGCTGCTGAGACAGCGCTGTGGACGCTGCTTGTTTTAGGCTTTTATTTCTCGGATCAGGGGCTTCACAGTAAGCCCACTCTGGCTGCAGCTCGTTGAGGTTAAGGGAGGTTACAGTAGGGCAGGTCATGAGATTAAACAATAGTCTGTGCGAGGAGGAATATTAATGCAGTCACACATCACTATCATCTGCATTGCTGTCACTGAGTGAGAGAGTCAATGAGCAGAGCACTGCAACCAGTGACAACATAGTGAGCTCACTGTGTGCTAACATGAGTGCATTAACCCTTAGGGCCCCAAAAAGACACGTGTCAGACTCTGTGTTTCTCCACACTGTTATAAATAAAGGTTCTGTGCAGGTACATTTTTTGTTCATCAAGGTACAAACAGTGTAAATGTTCCCTCAAAGGTACAACCATAAATAAGTTTTTCCAGGTAAAAAGTACGTATTTGTACCTTTTCATATCCTAATGTTTTAAAACAGAACAATAAAATAAAGAGCCTGGAGACGAGACCGGGTGTGTGGAGTCAATACAACTTAGAAAATAAAATTTCATTGGATTATGGTACAATTATGTTCCCTGACTAAAGGTGCTGAGATGTACCCTTGAGGGTCCAACCTCAGTAACAAAAAGCGAAGTTTCAGCCTTTTAATTATATGGGATGTCACATCCCATGTAATTAAAAATAATGCGTAGCCACACCTTATTAACACATGGGAATGAGATCCTAATGCGTGGCCATGACACATTAGGATCTCTTTCCACACCGTACTAAGTCCTGGCCACGCATTAGGATCTCATTCTTACACCTTACTAACCTTACTACTGCTCTTGGGTAAATAGATATTGGGGAAACTCTTGGTCTACTTGAGTCAGGCAGTAATCGGGTTTCTGTTTTACAGCCAGCCAATAAACTCACAGAATGAGACGTGACATAAACGTAATGTAAAACTCAAGCTTCATGAGTGGCTTTTCTTTTAAACATCAAGTCACTGTAGCAGAAAATGTGAATGTACATAATCTAGAAAATTAAGGAATATTTAAACCCTTCATTTGGTCGAGCATGTAGTCAATTTCAGTGTTGCTCCAAAAGTTTTGTGTAGCGTCTCGCAGGTGCTGTGTTAAACGCTGCTTGCTGTTTCTGGGACAGCACTCTGTTTTCACTTGATCCGAAAAGGGAATTCCACTGATGTTTTAAAATTTCTCCATAGTTAAATCAGTAGCAAATAAACAGAGTGGTTTGGTATGAAACGCTCCATTTTAGAGAAACTTACCGAGTCAGAATTGTTCACAGTGGTGGTGATAATAGGAACCAGATGTCCACCTCTAACTGGCATTTTAGATATTAATAATAAATTAAACGCCTATATATGCATTGTAGGAACCTATCACCACCACTGTAAAGAAATCTGGGCTTGTACGTTTTTCTACAAACTCACTGTTTCACATCAAAGCTCTCTGATTAACTTTGTTTACTTCTTAATCATTGAGCTATGTGGAACTTTTGGTAAATCAGTGGAGTTCCCCTTTAATCCGATCTAAGAAATCGGAGTATGCTGTTTACATGACCACTCCAGTAATCAGAAATCTGATAATGATCAGATCATTAAGTGCATGTAAACACACTCACTGACTTTTTACCTTGAGAGGTGGTGTGAAGTTCAGGAAAGTGGTGAAATGTTCAGTTATAGTACTTGAGTGTACAAAACCTTAATAACTATAAGCTTAAAAAGCTTAATATTGTGTGTTGTGTTTATGTATGGTGATATTATATTTTAGCCGTATCGTGCAGCCCTGCTTTGTGCTGATGGTTTGATGGAGTGGCTGTGTGAGTGGCTGTGTGAGATGCTGATCCAGGATCAGTTTCATTCTTAAACTCAGATGATGAGACTAAACTAAAGCCTGAGGTTTTACCTGCTGTTCACTCTCTCGCCTACATACACGCACACACTTTCACACTTACAGCCAACACAACCTTCCCTACTACACCCCCCCAACTTTCCTCTGCCCTTTGCCCCCCCTCAATTTTTCAGTTCAATTCAGACCAGCTTTATTAGCATGACTGTGAAGTACAGAATTGCTAAAGCATTACAACAATAACAATAAACAGCCAAAACAATAATAAAAATTAAATAAGATAAAAAGAACTAACAGAAATCATAAGCACAGAAATTGTTATAATTACAATATTATAGTGTTATATATATATAACACTATATATATATATAGTTATATATATATATGTGTGTCTGTGTGTGTGTGTGTGTGTGTGTGTGTGTGTGTATATATATATATAAAATATATATTTTTTATATATATATACACACACACACACACACACACACACATATATATATCTGTCTTACTCACTGTTTCTCTCTCGATCAATCTGAAGAACCATTTCACCATGCAGAGAACCATTTACTCATGCAGATGGTTCTTTGAGTGCTCATGAGAACTCTTGAAGAACCATCTTTTTTAAGAGTGTAGTGTATCTGACTCCTGCTCCCTCAGTCAGTCATTCCTGCAGCTGGATTGTACAGTAAGACATCTGTACAGTTGTTCTATAGGATGTTTACAGTTATGTAATCCATATGACTGCATATGTGTGTGTTTTACTTCTCATCTTTGATCTGGTTTTCTTTACTGCACAGATCTGTGTTTGAGTACATTAGAACTTCATCTGTAAATCTGCACAGTCAACAGTTACACACAGCATCTGGGCTCTTAGTTAAGGTTTCATTTTATCATATACATCCTCTCATCACATCATATTCTCTCTCTCTCTCTCTTTCTCTCTCTCTTCGCCGGCTCCTCCTCCCTCCTCCTCCCTTACTCTCTCTCTTAGTTTTGACTCACAGAGGCTGTGTGAGTGTATTAAATAGAGGAAGTTGTTACTCAGTGCAGCCCGCTCTCTTTCTCTCTCTGTGCCTCTCGGTGTCTCTCAGCCGTGTCCATGTGCACTAATGCAGCCCAGAGCAGTGAGCCAGGTAAGAGAACTGATCTGTTTCTGTTAATCTGTCTGGCTCCAGCGCAGTGTGTTTTAATCAGTGTGTATGTGTGTGTGTGTGTGTGTGTGTGTGACTGTGTGGCTATGGGAAGTGTGTTGGTTCAGTTGGCTGGTCAGTGGCTCAGTTAGTTTCAGTTTTCAGCTCTGTCTTCTCTGAGCTGTGGATGATTCTGTGTTTGCAGCACATTTGAGTTTCTCACAGGAAGATTTTCTGAACCGTGGTATGTGTGTGTGTGTGTGAGTGGAGTTTGTAAGAGAGTGTGTGTGTGTGTGTGTGTGTGTGTGAGTGGAGGAGTGTTACGAGCTACAGTCAGAGACGGAGAGATGACACACGATAAAGTTTCCTCTCCTCTCACCACCAGAGGAAAGAACACCTGAGTGTAGGATGGAGAGAGAGAGAGAGAGAGAGAGAGAGAGAGAGAGAGAGAGAGAGAGATACAGAGAGAAAGTAGAGAGGGAGTTACAGAGATAGGAGAGAGAGATACAGAGAGATAGTAGAGAGAGGTACAGAGAGATAGAGAGAGAGATACAGAGAGAGATACAGAGATACACATAGAGAGATATAGAGAGATTAATTGAATTGAATTACAGAGATAGAGATACAGAGCTAAAGAGAGACATACAGAGAGAGATACAGAGAGATAGTAGAGAAAGAGATACAGAGAGAGATACAGAGAGAGGAATTGAATTAGAGAGAGAGAGATGTGGAGATATAGAGAGAGATACAGTGATCACATTTACACTCTACACACCTTAATTGACAAATATGTTCATCAAAATCATGTTTCACTGATTTCAAAAAGCATGTGATTGTGAAGTGGATGAAGTGCTCTGTTATAGAGTCCTCCACAGTGCTGTTGGGGGTAAAGTTTAAAAAACAAATGTAAACAGAAAACAAGTGTGTAGTGAATACTGGCAACAGAAGTACAGTCCAACACTGTTCAACATCTGCATTAAGGAGTTAGTGCCACAGCTGGAACAGTGTGCAGCTCCTGCTCTCCTGCTTTATGATATGGAGGTTGAACTCCTGCTGTTTCGCTACCTGGGCCCTGCCTGTCAGTTTGAAAAGACAAACAAAGAAACCCAGAGTTCAGGACACCCCTCAGCATGCGCTAAATTATACTTACCTCAGACTCACCATCTTCGCATCAGAAAGATTTCGTTTGGCTGTAATTGTGAAGAAAAAAAATTGAGCTCTATTTGCTGTCAGAAAGAACTTCCACAAAATTAAAATTCCTATATGAATTTGGTCCAAATTGTTCGACAGTATAATTCAACCAATAGCACTTTATAGAAGAGAAATTTGGGTTCCACTCAGCAGAATCAGTCATGCCAGCGAGGACATGCAACCAACTGATAGTACTCCACTGACATCACAATCGCGCTGCTGCCATATGGTAACATCATCAGGTTCATTCTGCAGTGCTGTGTCTGTTATGAGATGAAGCCATAACTGATCCAGCAAAGACAACAAAAGAAACATCTTTTTAAATCAAATTCTTAAAGCATATTAATTGACATATTTGAGTGTATTGACTTGATTTGAATTTGTTGCTGTGGTGATGACAAATGAAAGCTAAAGTTTAAACCCTGCGTTACTCGCGCCCATCCCAAACCGCATACTAGCTCACTAAGTAGTGTGCAAAAATAGCGAATATCCCATTAGAAGTGCTCTCATTAGTGTAGTAGGTGAAGTACAGAAGTGTGTGGTTCGGAACACGGTGTTAGATCAGCCAGTGAGACGTGTTCAACAGCTGCTCTGTTTAGTGCTCGTTAGCTGCTCATTAAACACCTCCAAGAGAAAGTTTGAGGGGTTTGTTGTTTATGGAGCATTTATTGAAGCAAATAAATGCATTTATTGAGGTAAATTAATGTGTTTATTGTGGTAAATTACTGCATTTATTATGAATAAACTGATTAATTTATTGAGGATAAATTAATGCATTTATTGAGGTAAATTACTTCATTTATTGAGAATAAATTAATGCATTTATTGAGGAAAATTAATGTGTTTATTGAGGTAAATTAATGCTTTTATTAAGGTAAATTAATGTGTTTATTGTGGTAAATTACTGCATTTATTATGAATAAATTATTGCATTTATTGTGGTAAATTACTGCATTTATTGAGGATAAATTAAAGCATTTACTGAGGAAAATTAATATGTTCATTGAGGTAAATTAATGCTTTTATTGAGGTAACTTACTGCATTCATTGAGGTAAATTACTGCATTTATTGAGGATAAATTAAAGCATTTACTGAGGAAAATTAATATGTTCATTGAGGTAAATTAATGCTTTTATTGAGGTAACTTACTGCATTCATTGAGGTAAATTACTGCATTTATTGAGGATAAATTAAAGCATTTACTGAGGAAAATTAATATGTTCATTGAGGTAAATTAATGCTTTTATTGAGGTAACTTACTGCATTCATTGAGGTAAATTACTGCATTTATTGAGAATAAACTAATGAATTTATTGAGGATAAATTACTGCATTTATTGAGGATAAATTAATGCATTAATTCAGATAAATTACTACATTTATTGAGAGTAAACTAATTAATGTTTTGAGAATATATTAATGATTTTATTGTGGTAAATTATTGTATTTATGGAGGATAAATTAATGCATTTATTGAGGATAAACTAATTAATTTTTTGAGGATAAATTAATGCATTTACTGAGGTTAATTACTACATTTATTGAGAATAAATTAATGCTTGTATTGTGGTAAATTACTGTATTTATGGAGGATAAATGACTGCATTTATTGAGAATAAATTAATGCATTTATTGAGGAAAATTAATGTGTTTACTGAGGTAAATTAATGCATTTATTGAGGTAAATTACTGCATTTATTGAGGATAAATTAATGCATTTATTGAGGATAAATTAATGATTTTATTGAGGTAAATTACTGCATTTATTGAGGATAAATCAATGATTTTATTGAGGTAAATTACTGCATTTATTGAGGATAAATTACTGCATTTATTGAGGTAAATTACTGCATTTATTGAGGATAAATTAATGATTTTATTGAGGTAAATTACTGCATTTATTGAACAATGAATCTGATAAAATAAAATATCAAACATCTTGTCTTTGTACTGTTTTTGTTTAGATACAGGTCAATGTAGATTTTGAAATCACTCTGTTTTTATTTGCATTTCACAAACACTCCCAACTTTTTGGTGTTTGTATTTGTTTCTGAATGCATGCATGACCATCTCCTGCTCTGTGTATCCATCAGGGTGAATTTTGGCCGTGACATCGATATCATGCCCACTGGACCTAGCCTGTCCCAGGGCATTGTGGGTACACTGTAGCTGCTGCCCCGGCTGTGCCAGTATGGATTCACCAGGTAAAAACACACCGTCCTGTTAGCTTTGCCATGCACACACACCAACATCTGAATTCTTCATAATTATAAACAGAGTCAGGTTTGGTGTAGAAGACTCCATTCTAGAGAAACTTATGCAGTCAGAATTGTTCACAGTGGTGGTGATAGGAACCAGGCGTCCACCTCTAACAGCTCCCTCACAGAAAGTTATTACATGATTATGTGACTCTATAAACTGTGTCTTGACTTCAGATTTTTAGTAATTGCACATAGCAACTGCCTAACAACACCCTAGTAAACCACCTGGGATACCATATCAGCCTCCTAACAACACCCTAGCAAACCACCTGGGATACCATAGCAACCACATAGCAACACAATGCTGTAGCATATTTGTAAATCTGAAAACTCACCCAGTTTCCCAAGAGTTTGGTGTAAAGAGTGACTGTTCCTCATTTTTTAGATTGAAGAGGAGATAAGTAAGATCTTAGTTACTGTGAGGAAGAGAGCATCACCAAACTAGAACAGAGACTTTACTGTTAAACCAAACATCAGCACTGCAATGGCAAGTGAGTTAGCAGTTAGCCAGCACTGCCAATATGGGACCCCCAAATACCAGGAAGTATTTTACATATTGGCCCAAAGTATGTGGGAACAGTATTCCTTTTACCTTGGGAATGTCGTGTCAGGAAAAATTGGGTTAATCCCTTAAATGGCCCAAAGTTTTATTACGCTCTTCTATAATCTAAGAATAGCTCAGCCAGTTTGCATTGAAGCCCATGTAGTTACTGAATAACAAGCCTTAGTATGTAATAAGCCTGAGTTTTTAAGGGGTTAAATCTAGGAGTCTCCAAACGTCAGCATGCGGTGTACAATAATTTCCAGGTCTTAAAATTTTTCTGCTTGATGCACCACCGTGAAGCTGACCAGTCTTTTCCACACCAGTATGTGTGTGTGTGTGTGTGTGTGTGTGTGTGTGTGTGTGTGTACAGGGACAGAACAGAGGAGAGTGATTGAGAGCTGGTTGAGTATTTAAGCTGCAAACCTGAAAAACCTGACACATTGTTAGCCGGCAAATCCTTAAACACTATCCCACTGTTTACATTTTCAGAATTCGCAGCGCTCGAGTCGGAAATCTACCGAAGCCTGCAGGCCATTTTGAGGGAGCTGGATTCTCTACACCCTGTGATCAACAAAGGTGAGGCGCTCACCTGGAAACATTTTAGGAAACATTTATCTAGAGTGCACGCCTCCGCCCTCACCTGTAGAACACTTTACTATGCATTTTCCTAGAGTTCATTCTTACCTGAAGTGTGAACTCACCTGTGGCATGAACTCACCTGTGGAACACTTTACTATACATTTTCCTAGAGTTCATTCTTACCTGAAGTGTGAACTCACCTGTAGAATACTTTAGTGTACATTTATCTAGAGATCATTCTTACTTGAAGTATGTACTCACCTATAGAAGACTTTAGCGTAGATTTATCCAAAGTTGATTCTTACCTGAAGTTTGCACTCACCTGTGGTATACTTTACAGTACATTTCCCTAAAGCAGAGGTTCCCAATCCAAGTTTTGGTGACAGTTTGCTCTGCACATGTTTGTGGTTTCTCTATGCTTCACACCTGACCCAGCCAACAAGGTGTTTGTTGATTGGTTAACAAGTTGAATCAGGTGTGCTGGATGAGACAAAGCACAAAGACATACATAGTGTTCCATCATCAGGACTGGTACTGGGAACCTCTGCCCTAGAGCTCTCTCTTACCTGCAGTACGCACATAGCTGTAGAATGCTTTAGTGTACATTTATCTAGAGAGCTTGATGACCTGAACTATTTACTCACCTGCAGCCTGCACTCACCTGATGTGTGCTTACATTTACTTATCTAATCATTATCTGAAATATGCAATCTCACCATGTTTACATACGCTTTAGTGACGCTTCGCTGAGGAGCAGTGAGTGTGAAAACACCACTGTGTTTACACACTGCTGTCACTGCTTAGGATCGTGGAATCTGTGCTGCAGGAGTTGACACAGGCTCTGAGCTATATTTAGAGACACAGCGTCTTAGTTGCCGAGCACCTGTTACATTCTGCACCTGCCAGTAAAAGTTTGTTTTGTAACCGAGCTTACATGCTTACAGGAACTGGACAATGTGTGTCTCCAGTAATAGGTTTCCCATAAAGGCTGGAAAATTACTTCCTAGACTTCTGCGAGGCCGAGCAGTATCAGAATCAGAAAGTTAGTCTGTGTGTGTGTGTGTGTGTTGTCCTTTTTCACATACCATCGATGCTTGTTATTCCCTAAAAAATCAAAGAGACAAAAACAGTTTTCTCTCTTATGATTGTGAAGTTTCAGATTAGAATAGAATATAGAATAACTTTATTGCTGGGACTTCAACTGTATCAATGTAACGGTTATGTTCCTGTTTCAGTGAAAAATAAATTTAAATAATGGCACAAGAAATGTACATTCAGAAGTTCACCCCACATATATTAAATCGCTTTTGTGTATATTACTGATGTAGTTATTTCACAGTTAAAATTGTTGCTGAATCAAAAGTTTGATGCTTTTAATTATTTACTAAAGTTTTGAACACTTATTCAACGTATCACATTTCCCCTTTTATCAATTCTAGCATGTTTAAACATTAACTGTTTCTCATTTTTGGCCCTGTTTATTTGACTTGATGTCATATTTTGTAATATATGTGTTTAAATAAGTAAATAAGTTAAATAAGTTTAAATAAGTGTTTAAAACTGTAGTAAAAAAATTTAAAGCATCAAACTTTTGATTCAGCAACAATTTCAGCTGTGAAATTAATGCAACAGTAAGGTAAACAAAAGCGATTTAATATGTGTGGGATGAATTTTTAAATTTAGGTTTCTTGTGCCATTATTATTATTATTTTTTCACCAAAGCAGGAATGTAACCAGTGTTCTAAATGCCACGGCAACATCTGATACACTGAGTGCGTTTACATGGACTTAATAATCTGATCATAATCGGATTTCTTCAGTTATCTGATTCAAATGGTCATGTAAACAGCACACTCGAATCTAGAAATCTGATTAGGAAATTCGATAAGGAGAGCTGGATTTTAGCTCAGTATCAGATTTCTCAGTGCATATAAACTCCTACTCGGATTCTCAGAGTCTTCTCTTCCCAGTTTGCACATGTGTGAAACCAGACTGGAAATAAGTAGCAGCATTGCTGCGGCAGCAAAAAGTTTTGGAGCGATGCTGAAACCAAACATGTGCTTGACGGAATGGGATATAAACATTATTTATCTTCTGATATGTGTGTTCATACTTTCAGGTAAAGTGCTATGAAGTTTTTTTTTTTTTAAAGCCGCGGCATGAAATTTGAGTTTTACGTAACGTTTACCTCACGTCTTCTGTGAGTTTATTTGCTGGTTGTAAAGCAGAAACCTGAGTACTGTCTAATTGATGGCTAAAGGTTTTTACATTAAACATTACTTCATTTACAACTGGCATGAACAATTTTGTGTTTTTCTGATTGTATATGTTACAGATTCTGAGTTTTAATGCTTGCAACTTCATCATCCTGAAAGCATCCGAAAACAGATTTAACATCGTCCATGTTGTCACTGTTCTTTTCTCCCCAAGTCGACCAGAGCATTACAGTTTCTGTGTTGACTATTTCTTCCATGCCTTGAAAAATGCAAAAGCCAGGCTGGATTAACACACAATCCTCAAGTAACGTTAAAATCATTTACAAAAATGAAATATGAATGAAAAGTGGTAGTAGATTAGTCCTTTAGGTCCAACTTAATGAAAAACTGCCTTTTAAAGATATTGGTAAGGAAGTGTATGATCAAAACAGTATTTTTTACTAAACTCCCATTTTCTAACAGCCCACCCAAAACCACTTACCTCCCTGTACTGTTTGCCCTCTTACATCATCTCATGACAGGGCAGCAGACACAACATTAATCACATCAAACATAGACATAATTCAAAACAATTACTCACAACCGCCCATTGCTTAACCCAAAACCTTAAAAAAAAAATAAAATGACTATGACATTCTGGCTTCTATTTTTAGTATAACAAAAACTACACATAAAAAAATCATATACAAAACTTATACATGCTACTGTACATTACACAAAAGCCATTAAGTTATTCATTCATAAGCCATCATAGAAACAAGAATAAGCACAAAGCATCTGAAAAGCATATATCATCATCAAACATCAATCAAATATAACAATTTCATTATTCAGCGTCCTCCTTCATATGGCTTCAGTTTTACTACACTGTGCTTAACATCACTGAAATGTTCCTCTTTTCTACAAGACATTTTGTTTTCTAACATATAGTTTAACATTACCTTTACTGAGCTGACATTAGCCAGTGCTTACAGCATCAGCTATCAACAGGAGCTGAATAGATTTTGTTTTGTGTCGTTTGCCATGTTGTGAAACTTCATCTCCACTTTTTTAAATTTTGTGTGTCGTTTGGTGTGAAATGGTGGTGATAGGAACCAGGGGTCACCATGACCACAACACAAATATGGACATTTTATTTACTATTCAAAACCACCAGTGAACCTACATGTGTCTTCTGAGTTTTATATGAAATATTGATGATGGTAAAATAGTGGAAAATCTGAAATAATATGGTTTCTTTAGGGACTATTTTGCCTCACAACATCCTGCATATTATGTATCCCTCCACCATGAATGGATTTTAAGGCCAAAATCTTCTCAAAACTATCGTAAAACAATGTCTCAAGGTATTTATAACCATTTCATGTAAAAGCTCCCTGTGAGGGAGCTTTTAGAGGTGGACATCTGGTTTCTATCACCACCACTGTGAACAATTCTGACTAGGTAAGTTTCTCTAGAATGGAGCGTTTCACACCAAACCACTCTGAACAACTCTGTTTACATCTTAACCGATTAACTATGCAGGATTTTTGATAAATCGAATTGAAATTATACAGCAGTTTTGCAGAGTTAATGACGCAATGAAAATAAAAAGCCCACAACGGCATTTTTCATAGTTGATATAGTCAACTCTGTCGTCTACTCGTTGCAGCCCTGCTTATTACACAGTAATACAACTCTCTCTGTGTTTGTGTGTTTACAGGAATGCTGAGATGGACCTTACATAAGAAGGTGCAGTCTGATCCTGTGAAGAATCTGGCCTTGGTCAGAGTGGCTGTGAAGGAGCTGGAGAGAGTAAGTGACCACACACTCACTGCTGACTCGCTTTTATAGTGTTTATCTGAGCTTTTTTGCTGCTCACCATGCAAAACAGAGCGGTTTCGCAGTGTGCTGTACAGCGTGTGACTGTCCAGTCAGCCGTGTCATTTCTGTGTGTCAGATTCAGTATCTGGGAGTGTTTGGATAACTGATTATAGAATTAGACAAACTTCTGAGTTTTTAGAAACAATGCCTTTGTTTTGGTTTGTTAGATTACAAGGAAACATTTCAGTGATGAATCACAGCCAGTGTCACATAATCACAACATAATTATGCTTACTGAAAGGCTGAAACCTCCGGAAGAGTGTCAGGAGGCTTCGGAACGCTGAAGGAAACAGCCCCAACCTGCCAAGCTTGATCTGTACCATTTTGTAATGACTTCAACCTATTTATAATAGTTATTAAAAAGCTCACAGACTGCAGGAACCAAACATCTCAGTGTCATAGAACAACAGTTACTGCAGTTTGTTCTCACAGCTGTAGCTTTGTTTGTCTACTTTAAATACTAGCACCAAAGCTGGACCATGTGAGGAAATTGCCATTTAAATGCATTTCGATTGACCGAGTATGAGATGGACCTTACCGAGTCTGATACCATGCTGAATTACTTTGAATGAAGTGTTTTAGCTAGCTCTGCTACATTAGTTATCTTGGATCGAGTAGCGCTGCAGTTGTATGGCTGTAAGTAAAGTACGTTTCATAGTTTTGATCCTCGTCTGTCTCTTTCGACAGCAGGATTCGCATCTGAGGCTAACACATCTGAGGAGCTCACACTTCTAGTTTTACATCTTGTTGGAGTTTTTTGATTGGCTGGTTGAGCTGTAGCTGAATGTCCTCTAAAGCCAGACACTGTGTGATTTCAGAAATCTTGTTCTTTGGTGACTCACACTGTACATTTGATTAGACCATCATGTTCAGACAAAGATACGATTTATATACTTACAATGTATGAAAACACTCTGCCTGACTGACCTGCTATGTGAAACACAGCCTCTACAGACGCTCTGTCTTCGGATCGATTATCAATAAAACTGTTTAGTTTAGAATGAGTACTGAGCAAACATGCTGAGATACTGAGCAGCACTCCTAACACTGAGTGCTAAAACATACGACGATACAGTTTCTCTACAGCCTATTTTACAAAGACAGATAAAAAATCACCATATTAAAGTTTATGCCTCACTAGTCTATTCAGTTATACAGAGTTAGGTCACATAGATGGACTTCGGTAGCCACTGTTGACCTTTTCGCCTCTGTTTTGTTAGCTTATGTGTCTCCACCCCTCTTTGGGAAGTGTTTGTATGTGTTTTTAAACAGTCTAAAATCACACAGTGTATTCTTGGTGGGAATCTGCCATGGCAGAATTCTTAAAGTGACCTACCGCTTTGTGTCTGACTGTGCTGGAATTCATGTGAGCAGAACCTTCTTTACCGCTAACTTAAGTTGTTTGTCCGTTAGCAGGTATTGGATGTTGGTATCTGTAAATTTTTATGTGTACAAGTATTTCAGCACAGTGTTGGCCTGATACCTGATACCAGTATCTGTCTCAATGCATCTAGTGTGCCAAATACCCCCTGGTATTCAGGGGGGTCCCATATTGTCTGGTTGCTAACTCACTCACTATAGCGGCGCTGATACTTCAACGGCAACAAAATGTTTGTTTTATCAGTTCTTCTTCTGTAAATGCTCTGTTCTAGAATGGTAATGCGCTCTTCCTCAGTGTGAGAAATGAGGAACAGTCACTCTTTACACCAAACTCTCGGGAAACTGGATTCTCAGATTTACAGATCTGCTGCAGCACATTGTAAAGTTTTTCAGGGAAATCCGGGCAGAGTTACAGTTTCTAGACTATGAAGGACCAACTAGGTGAGCCAGTCTGCTACAGCGCCACCCTGAGGTAGAGCAGTGCTGCAGCTCTAGTTAGTTAAGAACATCAAAGACTAAAGCTGATTGTGGGTGAAGCAGATAAACAGTTAGCTTCACTGAATCTGTATTTGAGTGTCTGTTTTCCCCTAATGAACAGCGTAACATCATAACTTCATTTTCAGGGTGTCCAAAGGGTTAATTAGGGGGTCTCAGATGCCTATTGTGACTATTATCATAAGTGAAGGGTCAGTTGGTGCTGATCATTTGCAGACTTTGTAAACGTTGTTGTACACTCCACTATTCACATTGTTAGACCCCTATGAATCAATGTACAGCCAAACACGCCTGTGATTCTCCTTCACTGCAGTTCAGTTACAGAGTTCTTTATATACTGTGGCATCAGCATAGAATAAGACACGGGAAACACTGTGCTTACAGGCAAGTGCTCTTTTACTGAACATGCAGCAAGGGGAAACCACAGGCCCAGCGCCACTGAACACTGGTAGGTCACTGGTAGCTGTATGTTTTCTCTACGTGGTAGACACATTAACCCCTGCTATGTCACCCACAGCCTAACACAGCAACACAAGCAATACAAACACATCTCCACTAGAACAACATTGCTAGAAACAAGTGATACTGTCCTTTCTTACTGGGAACGAGTTGCCTCCTACGGCCTGTGGTGGATGCCACAATACAGTTGTAGCTGTACACACTGAAAAGATGGAATTACTGTACTTACAGTATTGTTCAGTCTGTACACTCTGATACTGACTGTGTTTCTATTTTTTTATTTTAATTTTGTTTCTGGCTCTGATTCTATTTCTTATTCAGATTCTAAAGCTGATACTAATGTTGATGCTGAATATGAATGAGAATCACCATTGGAATCAAAAACAGAATGAAGGTCAGAACCAGAAACACAATCAGCAGGAGAATCAGTATCAGCGCCTGAATAATAAACAGAATCAGGAACAGAATCAGAAACATAATCAGCATTATAATTAGAATTAGCATCAGCATCAGAATCTGATTCTGTTTCTAATTCAGATGCTGATACTGACTCTCCTGCTGATTCTGACCCTCATTCTGATTCTAATTCCAGTGGTGATTCTAAACCTGATTTTGTTATTGATTATGATCCTGACTCTTAATCTGAATCTAATGCTGAGTGTGATTCTCACTCTCACTCTGATTCTAATTATGCTCCTTTTTCTAAATCGGACTGTGATTTTGATTCAGATTCTGAATTCGATTTTGATTCTGATTCTTATGCTGATTTTGACTGACTGTGACTCTGCTTTTGACTCTGATTCTGACGCTGATCCTAATTCTGATAATGAATAATGATTCTGACTGACTCTGATTCTGTTCCCGTTTCTGATTTTGACTGTGACTGATTCACATTCTGATTTTGATTCAGATTCTGATGCTGATTGTGATTGTGATTCTGACTCTGGCATTGGCTCTGATTCTAATTCTGATACTGAGTGCGATTCTGACTATGACTCTGATTCTGTTCCTGTTTCTGATTCGTATTGTGACTGATTCTCATTCTGGTTTTGATTCTGATTCCGATGCTGATTGTGATTCTGATATTGCTTTCGATTCTGAATTTGATGCTGATTGTGATTGTGATTCTGACTTTGATTTGGTTTCTGTTTCTGATTCTGACTGTGATTCCATTCCTATTTCTGATTCTTAGTCTGATTCTGATGCTGATACTTTTACTCTGACTCTGACTCTGATGGTGTGTTTTCAGGCTGAGAGAGTCGACCTGAAGACCCACATCATCCCGCTATTACACACCCTCATCTACGCCGTCATACAGGTACACAGATTCTCCGTTCTGCAGTGTGATTGTTTTGTTTGTGTCTTTACTGTAAGTGTTGAGGTCTGTTCTCTTCTCATGTTTCTCCAGGCTGCATATATTCCTGATGATCTGTATAAGCGTATTTATAATGCATGTAAGAGGCTTCTGACTCTGCCTCAGCCATTCTGCTCTGTGGGGCTGAGCTACACGCGACTGCTGAAGACGGAGCGGACTACGCCAGGTCACACACACACACACACACACACACACACACACACTCACAGAGGATTATAATAGGGCTTTGTTTGCTCTCTGCACACTAATACCACTTTACATAACAACAGCACCCAAACCTGCAGATTTACTGACTGCATTTACCTTAAACTGCTGCAGTTAATCAAGAGCTCGGAATAAAATGTGTTAGCGCTGGAGACAAATTCAGCCAGCGTCACAGGAAATAACTCTTATAGGACATCATATTACTTTCTATTTTTGTGAGGTGCTACCCGCAGAATCACACCGAATAAAACTGGTCATGTGGCCTAAATTTCAGCTTTACAGAATAACTGAAAGGAGGAGAATGCATCATGATTTCACATGTGTACATTTTAGTTCTAATTTCACAAAGAATGGACAAACAAAAACAGCCCAAAATCTTGTTCCATTACAAGTTTAGAATGTTTTTTCCTTCTCTTGTAAAAGTGCCATTTTAGAGATACAGAGCATTGTGTTATGATCTTTTTAAACTCAAAACATTAAGTTAGATAGTAATAAGCTAAATGTATACAAATATTATCATTTATAGGGTACTTTCTATTGGGAGGAGACTATCCCAAACCCTAACCCTGTTTTGATATACATATTATATTATTTTATCATTTAAATGTGCAGAAATGTGTCTTCTGTATGTGTGTATATGTGAAAAAAAGTTTTTTTGACCAGGGGTGCCCAAACGTTTGCATACGATGGTGTGTATACAAACCTGACAAACACTTTCCTCAGTACAGTCCATTTAAAAGTTATATATAAGGGTCAATTAGGGGTATTTTTGCCTTATTTCTGACATTGTGTGTGTGTATGTGTTTTGATTACAGGGCTGCTGTATCAGAGGATGCTGGTGTCTGAGCACAGCCTGAGGAATGAACACTATCCTCTACAAGAGTGGTGAGGAGACACACACACACATACACACACATACACACAGCAGACAGGCCCTCCCCCAGCAACAGGTTATTAAAGTGTGTCTTCATGCCTTTAGCTGTCTTTAATACTATAATAATATTATATATACTAGAGTTGGTCTATTGGACTAATCCTCCTCTCTCCCGGTGCTCTGTGTGCAGGGTGTTTGTGTTTGCGGACCCGGTCGTGTTCTCCGAGTCTCTGAGTTTGGTTCTGAGGGCTGATATTGAAGCTGCAGGGCAGACGGAGACTCATCTGAGTCTGATGCAGAAGGTGGTACAGCGCTCCCTACAGGCCGCTCTGGGAGAGGAACACTGCCATGGCCCCACGCTCGCTCAGGCCCTGCAGGTCAGCACGCTGTTCATGGACATACACAACACACACCTATACTCTTAACAAAGGTGGTTCTTCTAGGGTTCTTTAGTAGATGGAACAGCTTTATTTAGAACCAAACACCTAAGCGTAGTTGAACTAGTATGCGTTGAAGTCTCTGGAAATATTGAATAATAAGCTCTAATATGTATTAAGACTGGATTTTAAGGGGTTAAGTGGCTCTTTGCATGATGAAGTGGTTCTTCAGATTGATGGAGAATGTGTTCTTTTTGAAAATGGTTCTGTATGGCACCAAAAAGGGTTCTGCTATTATTACAGTGCCAAAAAGGTTGCTAGGTATAACCATATATAACACATTTCACCATGCAAAGAGCCATTTAAGCATGCAAATGGTTTTATATAGAACTCATGGTTCTAAATAGAACCAAGTGTCTTTACTAAAGAACCCTTGAAGAACCATCTTTTTAGGAGGGTACATACTGATGTTCTGTGACCTTTTATCAGTAGTGAAGGAAGCCCTCCTGATGACATCCCATATAAATAAAAATAATGCGTGGTCACGCCATAGTAACGCGTGGGAACGAGATCCTAATGTGTGGCCACGACTGAGTAAGGCATGGGAATGAGATAATTAAGTCGTGACCACAACTTAGTAAGGTGTGGGAACAAGATCATGCCTTATTAAGCTGTGGTCAAGGCTTAATTATCTCATTCCCACACCTTACTAAGTTGTTGCCAGGCATTAGGATCTCATTCCCACGCCTTACTAAGTTGTGGCCACAACTTAATTATCTCATTCCCACACCATACTAAGTCATGGCCATGCATTATTTTTATTTATACGGGATGTCACCAGCAGGGCTCCGTGGTAGTACAACAAAATCTCTAATGAAACAAATTATTAATCGTTTCCATAGCGACGCAGATTGTGTTCTGAATGTGCACGCAAGAACCATTGAGTTTCTTTCATATACAGATGTGTGTGATTGCCTGAGCCAGCTGTGTTAGATTAGAGTGTAATCTCAGCAGAAATCTGTTCTAGTCTGTTATAATGCTCAAGCTGACTGTTTGAGAAGCATCTTATTTGTGATAACAGCACATTCTTTTACTAATATCATAGATCTGGGGCCGAATTAGACTTTCTTTAGTCCTGAGTTAAGATCTGACAGGTCAAGATAAGATTTTTCACAAATTCATATTACGGAAGCAAATCTGATCTTATTTTTAGGAGTTTTGTCTTGTCTTACGGCATCTTATCTCCAGTTAGGAAATCTTAACCTACTGAATGGAAGTCGACAATCAGCTGTCATGTCTGTTTCCTAGCAATGGGCCATACATACACAGCTAAAACATAAACATGAAATCAAAATAATGTCAAAATATAAGTTACAGCTGCTGTAAAAAAGGTCAAACAAAACTAAAGTGTGATAAACTGTAAGTTGTGAATACTGTGAGAGCGCCCCCTGCTGTTTATCAGAGTGTCGCCACTCCCCAGTTTCAGTCTCCATTTCCCAAACACTTTAGCTGAGTGCGCTAACGTTATTCCTCCTAATAAACAGACACACGTTCAGCTCCGTCTCCTCATTATTCACCACCATCACTGTGATATTTTATCATCAACATTAACACACGAAGGTAATAAGAGGGGACGGTGGAGGTCGAGTCTGCAGTGTCTGCAGATTTTTAAAACACAGAGTTAGAAAAGAAAAACATCTCACAGTGAAAGCAGCGTTTTACAGTATAAATAAATGTAGCCTCATTATGCTAGTAGTGAACTATGCTGCCTGACACAGCTGCCTAAAAACGATAGAAACGGAGGCTTAAACAGAAGTTAAGACACTGTTGGGGTTTATCCTAAAGTTAGCACAGTATTTAGGAGGTTTAGTCTAGTTAGGATGTTTGTGTAATACTGTTTTCTTATCTGGAGTTAATGATGAGATGATGAAGTTAGGAACTGTTATTCTGTAATAGCTACTGTCCTAAATTAAGTCTGTACTGAAGTCGTCATGGAGACTCAACGGAGAAGAGTTCAGAGTTAAGATGTTTCTGTAAGAGCAAGTAATGCTAATGTTAGCTAGGCTGTGGGTTAGCAAACTGTCACTATGGTTGCTGCTGTGAAGCTAACCAGTTGGTAATAGATATCACAACCACATTCCACAGCGCGGCTTCGCTTTGTCTACCAGGCCTGCTAGTATCTCTTAGCTGCGGGCTAGTGGGTAACAGCACAGTGCATGCATGGGTCAGCCAGCGTTTCACAGAGGTTCAGTGGTTTAAAGTTTTTTTAAGAGAAGAAATGTTTATGCTGGGCTGTTTTAGGTTCATTTGTATGAGAACTTTTATGGTGAAGGGAGTGGTGGGTTTTCTGTAGTACAGCAAATGGCTGTGTTTTTAGCTATTAGCGCTGAAGAGGCTGTGTTTCTTCTTGCCGTGTTTGGCGCTGTTTTCAGCTAGTAAAGCTGCATTATGACCTCGAGAACCCTGAACATTACAGTATTTTGCAGTTTCGCCTTCATTGCTAGCCTACATCTAGCCAAAAAAGAAAAAAAAAAAACAATATCCAAATCCCAGAATTTAAAACCAAATACCCACCCAACAAATGAATATCCAAATAGTTGAATATTCGGGTCCAGCTCTAGTAGATCAGCTATGATATTATTAAACTCTTTCACAGTGGTTTATTGATTAAGTATGTGATCAGCCCCAGAGAGAGTCCTGTTATGAGGAGAAGGTGGGAGCGCTGTGACAGGCAGGTGGAGTTTATTTCCAAATTTAAAAAGATGAACAGGAAAAAACTGAGAGAACAGCCACGGACACCCACGCGACAGACCGCACGCTGTACGCACTTCTGTGCGTGTGTGTGTGTGTGTGTGTGTGTGAGTGCGCGCGCACTAGTCTACAGCTGTGTCTGCATGTGGTCTTGCTCATATTTGTTTGCATATCTCTGCGTGTGTATTTAACCCTGTGTGTGTGTGTGTGTGTGTGTGTGTGTGTGTGTGTGTGTGTGTTCCTATCTTGCTGTACGTGTGTGGACCACATGTCCAACATGACATTTGCAAACCTGCAGAATGTCCTCAATTGAAATGTGCTGTTTTCACCACAAATTATTGATTATATATATATATATATATATATATATATATATATATATATATATATACATATAGATAGATAGATAGATAGATAGATAATTAATTACATATATAGACAGATAGATAGATAGATATAGATATATACATATAAGCTGGAGGATGTGGAGTGTTATTTCGGCGAGGTGTGTGTGTGTGTTTGTGTGTGTGTGTGTGTAGGAGCTACAGGATGTGTAATGTTATTTTAGAGAGGTGTGTGTTTAACTCTGTGTGTGTGTGTGTGTGTGTGTGTGTGTAGGAGCTGGAGGATGTGGAGTGTTATTTCGGGGAGGTGTTGGCAGCCGTAGAACAGAGCGCTGCAGACTGCAAGAATGAAGACAGTCAGAATCACCTGATCCAGAAACTACAACAGCTCTACACTCAGGTGCTGCTCAGCACTGGGAAAGGTACAGCACTGTTCTGTTCTGTTCTACTCTGTTTGGTTCTGTTCTGTTCTATTGACTGTTTGCAAAATTCTAAGAAAGTCCTGCTCTGTTAAGCCACTTTTTCACCACATAGTACACCAAAGATAGCACCCAATGGAGAACCAAAAAAGACAAGTAGAGTTGAGTTGAGCCGATACCGTGCAGTGAAAGCTTCATTAGTCGCTACGTTCATCAGTCTACCTGGTAGCATCTATAATGCTTACACCAAAAGACTTACACCAAAATGTTCAGTAATACACAGAGTAGCACACAGAGGAGGGCAGGCAAGAGTGGTATCTATTTTTTGATACCTTAATAACTTGCAAGACATTCCACCATCATATATGGTATGTGACAGTATTTGTGCTAAAAAGTTGAGATGAGCTGCTGGTGATAAAACCTCTAATGCTTTTTGTCATTTAGCGTTATTTCAAAAGTAGTTCACATTACACAGTTACCAAATAAGTGAACAGAGTGCACGATTTTCAAAACATCATTCAATAAATGTCAAGCCAACTGTTAACAACTGTTGTTCAGTGCAGACATGCATGTTCGAGAGGCAACAAAATGCCAGTGTAGGCCAATTTAACGTGGCAGGTTTTCATGTCTGATGTGGAGGAGGTTTTGGCGGTGGAAGCTGCCCCTTCAGATGAGCTAATGGAGCTACACTCTTAAAAAATAAGCTTCTTCAAGTTTTCTTTAGTAAAGACAGTGGTTCCACACTCAAAGAACCATTTGCATGCTTAAATGGCTCTCTGCATGGTGAAGTAGTTCTTCAGATTGACGGAGAACGTGTTGTATATGGTTCGGTATAGAAGCTTTTTGAAAATGGTTCTATATAGCACCAGAAAGGTTCTTCTCTTGTTACTAGTAGAACCCTTTTGGTGCTATATAGAACCAACACATTCTCCATCAATCTGAACAACCATTTCACCATGCAGAGATTAATTCTGTTGTATTTCATAATATTGCATTTAGTTCTTTTCAGTTCAGTTCAGTTCCTTTCTACAATGTTCTATTCTATTCTAAAATGGTCTACATTATTTCATTTAGTTTAAGCTGTTTAATTTTTGCTCTTCTGTAGTATTTTAAAGAATTCTCACTCGCTCGCTCGCTCACTCACTCACTCACTCACACACTCACTCACTCACCCACTTAATCTCTCCCTCACTCACTAACTCTCTCTCTCACTCACTCACTCACTCACTCACTCACTCGCTCACACACTCACTCACTCACCCACTTAATCTCTCCCTCACTCACTAACTCTCTCTCTGTCACTCACTCACTCACTCACTCACTTCCTGACTCACCCACCCACTCACTCACTCCCTGACTCACTCACTCACTCCCTGACTCACTCACTCACTCACCCACCCACTCACTCGCTCACTCACTCGCTAACTCACTCATTCACTCACTCACTCACTTCCTGACTCACTCACTCACTCCCTCACTCACCCAACCTCTCACTCATTCACTCACTCACTCACTCACCCACCAACTCTCTCACTCACTCACTCACTCACTCACTCACTCACTCACTCACTCACTCACTCAGCCACCCTCTCACTCACACACTCACTTACACCCTCACTCGCTCACTTGCTCACTCACTCGCTCACTCACTCACTCACTGTCTCATCCACTCACTCACTCACTCACTCACTCACTCACTCACCCACTCCCTCACTCACTTACTCTCTCGCTCTCTCACTCCCTCACATACAAATAACACACACATGCACTTCTCCAAAGAGAGTGTGTATTATTTATGATCTTTTTCTCTCGGGGAAGGAAGTGTTATAGAAGTGCTGTTTGGGTTTGGTGTCAGTGTGTCGCTCCTGTTTTTCAGATCCATTGTCCCGCGGCTCGCTGGCCGACGTTCCGCTTCCCAGTCCGGACATGAGCTTCCACATGTGGTGGGAGGAGGAAGAGCTCTGTGAGTGGGATCTCTTTCGGAAACGTTTGTGTTTGTTTGTGTGTGTGGAGACTTAATTGATCTGTGTAAACAGTGTGATTAATGTTTGAGCCTCGCACTGTATGAGGCTCAAACATCCATTCATTTGTGTCCACCTGTTCCTCCAGCGTTTCTTCTGTAAAGAAGGGTGTTAATAGTGAGTTTGTGCTGCAGTAACAGCCTCTGCTCTTCTGGAAAGCCTTCTACATGTTAGAACACTGCTGTGAGGATTTGATTAAGCATTAGTGAGGTCAGGTACTGATGTTGGATGGTCAGTTCTGGATCACGCTTGGCGTTGGGTATGGAGACCTGCCTGCTCCAGAGCATCCCATTCTGTTGGTCAGTGCTTTTCTATGGAGATTATGCAAGCTGTGTCAGCAATGGGTGACCTTAAAGTAGCTCATCTCATCAGAACGATGTCTGGATACTTTTAGGCTGTATACTGTATGGAATCACATCTTTTATGGTTCCTCATTAAGCTGCTTAAGAGAGCAAGAGTGTGTAAAGCTGCATCAAAATAAAGGGTAATCCTGTTGGACCAGACATGATCTCATAACGAGAACGTCTAGGTATAACCATCAGAAGTTTATGGGCTAAATGTGGTGAGAACATAGACTCATTAGTGTGGGATCGAACTGAGAGTGAAATTTCTACACCAATGCAACGGCATGTAAAGGTGGAGCTCACAGTAGGGGGCACTGGTGCACTCATCAACAATAAGTCTGTCATTAGCTCATGGATGTAACGTAATGTGGCATTTACCGCTACTAAAGAGACACAGTTTATTTGGGAGAATTCTTAATGAGCAGGTGTGTCGAGGTGTGTTTTTTAACTGTTACTGTAATACAATACTGTGTCAACATATGCTGCCAAATATCTTTTAAAGATAATATTATCATAAAATGGAAATATTCAGCGTAATGTGAGACTCAGAGGTGTTAAGTGTTGAGCTTTTTCATGTCAAATCTTTCTCACCTCCTAACTCACCACAACTTCCCTCCTCAGGGAGAGAGCTCACCAAGTTCATCCGCTCCAGTTCCATCTCAGACAGTTTCTCTCTCTCCCCGGACGATTTCGACCTCCCCGACCTGGCGACGGATCTGGACTCGGAGATGCCACGTCACTCCATCATGTCCACGGACAGCGGGATTGAGCGGGACATGCAGCCGGCTGAGAGCTCGGACACAGAGTGGGGGGGAGGGAGAAGCATGAGGGCAGACACAGGGCAAGGTCGGCTGTCCCGGCGCGGAGGGATGAAGATGAAGCCCTCGGTGACGGACAGCATGGCTCTGATGCAGGATGCTCTGGAGGACACGGCGGGCAGCAGGAGGACGCTGCAGAGGAAAGCTGGTCAGAGTAACATGCTCCTCCAACAGCAGCGCCACTTCACGGCCAACATCGTGGTGATGGGGGACGACCGCGTCCTAGGACGACTTGCTAGGGCCTACTACTGGCTGAGGTGAGTGAAAGACCCTGTGTGTCCAGCTGTCAAATGCACTGACTGTCTGATGTTTTTTAATTGAACCTTTAAGGTCAACTCATGGTGCCATTGCTGCCATTGCTGCCATTCAGCCTAATCTTCTCCATTAAAGGGCCCCTGTTCTACATTTTCATATAGGACAAAATTTTTCCAAGTTCACTCATGGTGTTTATGTAGTTTTATGTACCAAAAACAGCCATAATTCATTTCCACATGACTATTTTCCAGCCTTTGTTTATCCCTTAGAATTAATCAGGCTTTTTAGTTACTGTGCCTTTAAGAGTAATATATGTAAATGATCTCTCTTCTCTCTTCTGGCTGTCCTGGGGCTGGATTCAGAAGCTTTCTGAAGAAAAAACTTGCAAAATTTGTAAGACAAACACTACGAAGTTCCTAAGAATGTTCTTAAATGCAGTTCTCAAAAAGGCTCAAGATGTTCTTAAATATTTTCTTAAGATAATCTTAATTATTTTCTTAAGATGTTCTTAAGAATATCTTCATTGTTTTTATGTATGCTATGTTGCATTTTACCACATACCATAAATGACGTGAGATACAGTTTAATTTTTGTATTAACGGTTATTTACGTTATTTAGTTTAATCCACTCAGAGCAGCAAAATGGAGGAATAACATCAAACCAAGTGTTTAAAAAAATAGCAAACAAGGATTAGAGGTGATGGAAGAAGAAACTGCCAACAGGAAAAGATCCTCCTTAGAAAATATGATAATTGTGGGGTGACAGACAAGGATGAGGAGCAGCAGAAGCAGCGCTGAGTTCAATAAATTCAGTTGCTCAACTGGTCTCTCATAGCCTGAGACGAGTGTGAAGCTATCGTAAGATTAAGAACACATTTACGAACAGAATGTTTTAAAAAACAACACTTATTCTCAAGAAAATACTCAAGAAACGAAAAAAAGAGCATTTTTAAGTTTTTTAAGTAATTTATTTTATCTTTCATAACTTTTTTCTTAAGAATGAAGTTGAGAAAAAAATTACTTTCTTAAGACACTTTCGTGAATCTGGCCCGTGGAAGCACAGGCTGTCCCCAAACTTTTGATGGGCAGTGTAGCGGTCTCTGATTGGGTTGTGGGTTTCTGCATGAAACCAACATGAAAACCTTCCTCTTTCGATCCCGAGTGGTTCATTAAGATTCAGCTGAGGCTGCAATTCACCAAAGACGCTCAGACTTTAGAGACCTGCAGCATCGGCTGTGATTAGCTTGTTTCAGACCCACAGAAGATCAGGCAGCTGACCGACCAACTAATTTATGAGCTGTAATAATCCTTTGATCTGTTTTTATTTGATAGGTCTTTATGAGGGTCCACACTTCAGTTATTCCCTCAACTACAGGACGTACAGGAGTGTTACACTCAATCTCTAAAAGGGACGTATTAAAAATCTCAGCAAGTTTGGGCTGTGTTGTTATTTGATTTTTACTTAACATTTTGCCATGACCCCAACTGGCCACTGTTTATACAAAATACACCAAAACTACAACAGCAAAAATAGCCATTGAACACTTGCATGATTAAAAAATACTTTTATTATTATTATTATTATTATTATTTATTGATTGTTTTATATGAAACAGTAGACTAAATTAGCTGCAGATGACTGTTAAACCTCTTTGCACAGTAGGTTTTTTAAAACTGCCCATTCGCTTAAACTGGACACGTGACATCGTTTTACTGTGGTGCTGTCCCATAGATTGTTGTTGGGAAGGGGGTTGGGAGCACACATGCAGCATGCTGGCAACTGTAGTGAAGCTCATAGTTAAACGGGCTAATACCAATAGAAAATTAAAATAATTTTGCAGGCTGAATAGGATGGTGCCATGGACCTGACGTGGCTCACGGGCCTTGTGTTTGACACATGGGCTTTAGTAGATACTGAATGAGTAATAATGAAATGAATAATAAGCCCTGGAGTTTAATAGGATAAACTGGCATTTCACTGAATCAGTTTTGAGCTTTTTCTGTGTGTGTCTGTAGATAATGGTACTTTTTAGTCTAGTATTTTATAGTAATGAAGATACATATTAGCGTAATATATCGCTGCTATTGGAGCAAAATCTCCAAAATGGTAACTTTACAGGAGAACGCAAAAAACATTCTTTACTTTTAATGTAAATCAATGGAACCCAGTAATTCTGGGTCATTTCTTTTGGTCCATTCATCATGAACTTCGCCCATAATGTAAAGGACAACAGGCATTTTCAGTTTATGTCAAAAACTGAAAAACGACAAAAATGGAGATACAAGATTTTGTACTAATACTGATGAGATCAGTCAACCAATAATACCATAATTTATTAGGTGCATCCTGTGCTCATATGAAATCATATCATGAAATGATAAATGTAATCTTCACAGAATGACAGTCAGACTAAAGAACAGGACCGCTGACGTGCAGAGTGCTCACACTCAGAGTCCTTTAAAGGTCAAGGAAGTTGTCAGAGGAGTTTGCACAAACAGTGCTGTGGTTTTCAGGTTTCGGTACCCACAGATTTCCCCCAAATGCAATGGTTTCGATCTGGGTACATAACAGAGAGGTGCTGCTGTTGAATATACACATTTTGGAAATTCCTGACACAAACCTAACCTGAAATAAATGCCTATAATTATAATATAGACTAAGGCGACTATATTTATCACTACCGTGATACGTTAGTGTCACAATATGCTTGTCTTGGAAGTCTTTAGTACTTAAATAGTGACCATCTACATGTTAAATTACAAAGAGAATATAATTAGTGCTGTTTAGTTGGATTTAGTTCAGAAAACACTGGATGGTGGTTTTTTTTGGCTGTTTTAACTCATCAAACCTCAGATAAACTAAATATTGTGATGTAGGATGGGCGATATGGCAAAATATCACATCACGATACTTATTTTGACACACAGACACAAGACGGTAGTGCCCTATTTAAAAATAGCCATTAAAAACTCTGGGTACAATGATTTTTATTGCACATTTTATTGCACATTTCACCTTTAGTGCAGTTGGTCAGTGATTTTTAAGGACTGACGATATCCACGATACTCTCAGAGAAGCAAACGATAACAAAATTTATCACAATAACAGTAAAATATATGCATATTGCCTGCATCTATTGTGATGCACAGTGTGTATTGTGAAAATGCCTTTCTTTTTTGATCTTATGATGGCATTTAAACTCCTGCTTTGGTATGTTGGTTAGAGACACAGCTGCAACCCTTCCCTGTGGTTGTTTACAGAGTGTCTATGAAAGAGATCCATGACTAATACCAAAAAAGTTCCTCTGCAGGAAAAAGCAGAAGAAACCCCAAAACAGCTCTGCTCTCAGCTTTTTCCCTTTTTTACTTCTTTTAAGTGTGCCTGCTTTCTCAGAACAGAATGTTCTCCTTACTGATCTACGCTGTTGTTTCTGAGCAGAATATTGTATCAGACAGATTTTTGTTTGTGCTGAAATTCGGTTACTCCACACTGGCTCTCTGTGCCGCTCCAGCCTGGACCTAAAGGGCCATGATAGGCCGGCTTGGACTACTGCAGAAAAAAGGAAGCCTTTTTTTTTTTAGTGAAATCTTCATCTTTCTCAGCAGATTCTCACTACCCTGTTCCTGCTCTCAGAAACCTGAATATCTTTTCTATGCTTAACAGAAAAAGAGAAGCGCGGAGGCTATTTCTAACCAAGAAGGTTAACATCAAGATGTTCTACATCCCTGTAACCACGCAGCCCTCCAACCCAGCCACGGTAAAAACTACCAACCTACACACACACAAACAAGCACTGGTTTCCATGGTGCACACACTCCTCAATGAGTAATAGCTGGCCACTTTATTAGAAACACCCCTTGTGCTTCCACTCACTGGCTACTTTATTAAAAACACCAACCTTGTGCTTTTATTAAGTGGCCACTTTATTAGAAACACCTGCTTTGTACTTCCACTAACTGGCCACTTTATTAGAAACACCTACCTTGTGCTTTTATTAAGTGGCCACTTTATTAGAAACACCTGCTTTGTACTTCCACTAACTGGCCACTTTATTAGAAACACCTACCTTGTGCTTCCACTAACTGGCCACTTTATAAGAAACACCTCCCTTGTGCTTCCACTCACTGGCCATTTTGTTAGAAACACCAATATTATAGCTTCACTATATGAGTATATGGTTACAGACTGTAGCTCGTCTATTGCTGCATAATTTATTGGTTTACCATTTTACTTTTTATATTTTGATAATTTAGTACTAAATTGCATACTTAACCCCTTAAACTCTGGGGGTCTGTGTTACACTCCAGTTCCTCACATTCATAACCACAACTTACATAATAAGTGTAGTTACAGAATAATTTAAATTGAATATGTTAAATTGAATAATTTAAATTGAACATGAGTCCACAAAACTCAGTGACACTCACTACAGCACAACACAGCCTAACCCAGCCCTGCCCTTCAAAATAAGAGTCCCTGAACATGACCTGAAACAGAACTACTAACTAATTTCTTTTTATTTTTTTTTAAACTATATAGAACAGCGACGTGACTGAGGTCACAACATCTTTATATATTTATCTAAAGGAAGTTCCTCTGGTGGGGTTTCCCTGGCATGAGTTCCCCATACTCTTAAAAAAGATGGTTAATCCAGGGTTCTTTAGTAAAGACAGTGGGCTCATTCTCGAATATCCTCGTAAGTTTTTGCTTAAAAGTGTTCTTGAGAAAGGTCCTAAGAAAAAGTCTACGTCAGATTCATGATGTTTTCTTAAAGTGCAGAACTGTTCTGACCTCTGTGCTTTTGAGTGTGTGTAGATTTTGTTTTACCTAAGAACAAATCCCAAATAAGAAAACACTGATGAATGTCAGAATCTTCATATAAACTGCTTAAGTGGATTTTAAGAAGAAATTTCTTCTTAAGAACAAGGCCTATTGTTTATTGTTATTCTTTTTTAAGAGTGCAGGGCTGAATTAGAAATTGTTTTTTGTTTTGAGCACTGTAATGATTTTCCCGCTCTGTTCTGTCTGTAGGAGAACATGCTGGACTCTAACCCGTGTGTGCTGGGGTCATATCTGGGAATGGTGGATCCGTGGTACGAGTGTAACATCAGCAGCCTGGGCCTCATGATCCCAAAATTTGTCGCAACGGTATTAATTTCACGTTTCCTCCAGACTCAGAAGAGCCTTAAACTGTGTAGCTTACAGTGGATGAGAAAGAGACATTTTAAATCAAATATGAGCTTTTTGTAGTATTGGGTTACGTCATTGGCTACGTTCACATTACAAGCTTCATTGCTCAAATCCGATTTTTTGCTCAGATCTGATCTCTCTGACATTATGGTTTACACTCATTTAGGTAAGTGACTCAAACAGAGAACTTGTAGAGAGGAGAGTTGCCACTTTGTAATGTCTTCTGGGTTGCTCAAACACTAGAGGGCGCTCCCGAGCGAGTCCAAAATGAATGGGTTAATATGGAGCATTTCAGTAAAATCATAGTTTATAAATGCTTAAACATTTTTAATATGAAAGAATAAATTCATTTCCTGAACACAGAACAGGATAAAACATTGTAACACTGCTGTTATATTTTAACGCTTTGAACTCGAGTTAAAGGAGTTTAAAACGGCTCCTCATTTACGTTCATGACATCAGTGAGCACAAACAGCCAATGAGCTGCTCCACTCGCCAACCAATCAGCACTCAGTAACAGTAATGCCAACCAGTCAGCACTCAGTAGCAGTAATGCTGGTGTCCTGCTGCCCGAAACCCGTTTGCTGTAGAAAAAGGAAACATACAGGTGAGTTTTCTTTGCTTTTTTAGTGAAATACATTCTTCCGCTTTCTAAAATTAAAGGAAAGCTCTGGGTGATTAGAAACGATTTTAACTTTTCCTTTTTAGCCATTTAGCTTCATTTACCCCCTTCATTGAGGACTCGCTCGTGGGCGCCCTCTGCTGTTTTGCAGTCATGTTTTTGATGTAACGGACGAAATAGGAAGAGACCAGCCTCCTCATTAACAAGCTCTGACTCAAATCTGTCAACAATGTGAATCAACCGGCGTCCTGAAATGGCCCGTATCCGCACATCCTAATTAGTAACATCACATGAATTAATCACATGCGTCATGAAGAGCAAACAAACTAATGAGCAGAAGGCTGTCAGAATCATTCGCTGTGAGGATAAATAACTCTGATCAGCTCTCAGCTTCATTATTAGAGCACTGCTGCCACATTAACGCTGAATGATGGCGCACACACTGTGGAAAAAAGCACATGAATTCAGATCTGAGCGTCTCATTAAGGTCGCATGGTCATGAATCAGATACGAATCTGATCTAGGACCACATATGAAAGTGGCACAGGTCTGATTTGAAAAGATCAGATTTGTGCATCCACACAGCTCTGAAAACATCAGATTTGAGTCACATTAGGGCAAAAAATCGGATTTGTACCACTTCAGCCTGATAATGTGAAAACAGCCATTAAGAACGCCCCACCATTATTCTGGTCAGTGAGCTGTAACTCTGCCTGCGCTCTGATAGAGCTTGCTTAATCACTGTTAGTGCAGATTCAGCCCTCCAGGTGGATAAAAACCAACAAAACAGACCAGAATGACCATGAAAAACATTTTATCTCATAACAGACCTCTACAGAACTTGAAGTTGCCTACTAAAATGGTGGCAATATGATAGTGACATCATCAGAAAACTATACATATAGATGTTCACATAATCATACACCAGTGCTTTTACGCCACCAGTTAGCGTGGTGTTAACTGCATGATTGCCTCAAAGCGTATGGAGTTGTTCAGTATCTCTAACAGACTTGATTATGTGGTTTCTGACACTGTATGACTCACTGCTATCTATAAACATGAACTAAAGTACATTAGTATAGCTTTTTTTTGCCAAGTTTATAGAACACATTCTCAATTACTCCATGACTTTAAATGTGTGTGTGTGTGTGTGTGTGTGTGTGTGTGTGTGTGTGTGTGTGTTTGTGTTGTGTTGTGTATTTCCCCCAAATCAGTGTGACCTAAGCAGGCCGCATGAGCCCAACCCTTTTCTAGCTGATGTAATTTCCTACTACGTGCGGATGGGGCAGCAGCCAGTCTACTTCACCATCTACTATGTAAAAGTGAGAGAGCTCAGACACTCTGTTCTTAGTCACAAACACACACTGCCCTGCAGAGCGCAGCTCTAAAACTCAACACTAGCCCAACTAGAATGGCACTGCTCACTATAGCCAGGATATCACAATATTTAACACTCATCTTCACTGTGAAATACTGTATCCATCATTTTATTGTGATATCTACTCACCCTAAGATATTTTTTGTAATAACACATTAAATAAAGTTCCCATCGTCTCTGCTGCAGTTTTATCCTTCTAAAAAATATTTTCAATATGTTTGACTAACATTCATTGTTGTCCTGTTTATGTGTGTGTGTGTGTGTGTATGTGTGTTAAGATCGTGTTTTCCAACCTGACCAAAGAGCCGGTGGAAGAAGTCTTCCTTTCTCGCCTCAATATCGATTTCCCCGAGTTTAAAATGCGTCACGGAACGGTTAAAGGTATCAGTGATTCTGTGTGTATTTGTTTGTGGACCATCACACTAGTTCTGTGCACTTGCCTGTTTATCATTCGTAGCTGGTGAGGTTATAAAAGCTCTAAAGGCCTGTATGTGACTCTACACTTCAGTTCCTTACACACTGGACTACAGAACTCACACATAGTTTCATACCAGCTACTGAATAATTTATAGTAGATGCTGAATAATTCATAGTAGACACTGAATAATTTATAGTAGTTACGAAATAATTCATAGTAGATAATCAATAGTTCATAATTGACACTGAATAATTTATAGTAAATACTAAATAATTCATAGTAGACACTGAATAATTTATAGTAGATATTGAATAAATAATAGTAGATACTGAATAATTTGTAATAGATATTGAATTCATGAATCATTCATAGTCTGTTTCCGTTCATGTTGTTGCAGTGCTACAGTTCTGCCAAACTAGTGATTTCTAATTGGTGCCTGAAGCACTTCTTTATTAATTTATGATTAATAATTCTGTGATCTCTCTGTCTGATTGATAAACCAGGCTCTGTCAGTCAGAGCTGTCTGGCTGAGTGTGTAATCCTGACTGTGTCTCTCTCATACAGAAATGTCCATGAGACAGAAGAAGGCTCCAGTGGAGCTGTGTGGCGCTCTCATCTCCCTCAGCTACACGAAGGTCAGCCAATCCCCACTCCACTCAAATCAGACTACACTCCCTGGGCCCTTTATCAGAAACACCTCGCTTGCAGAGCCACCTTACTGGTGTGCAGTTAAAACATTTCTCTACCGAGTGGTGTGGTACAACATAATACAGTTACAAATCCGAACCTGGAACTGTCAGTACCATGCTGAAGTACCTGTGGCATAACAGGACTGTGAAAGTAGGGAGTTCTCTTTGACTTCTGTGGTCACATGATTTCACACAAGAATATAGCATTAACAAACAAAACAATAGAAACAATGAGGGAGCTTTAAATCCTAATTCACTTTTTACATTTAGCATTTAGTTTTTAGTTGGAGTCACAGAGAGATTCTGGATCACTATAAATTTTTTTTCTCTGTGTTGAGCTCAAAATGCTTAAAATGCAGTCTTCATAGAAAAAGCTGTTTCAGCCTTTTGGTGCACAAAAAATGTGCTCTCAGTTCTGATGTAAGCAACTGTTAGTATTTAATTTCTTTTTATTTGCACAATAGTGAACAATGCTTTTGTAATTTTGTATGTTTTGCTATTTGCTTAAAGGAGAGGTTAGTTAGATTTCTGTCCACACATACCAAAAAGTCTGTACTATTAATAATAATTTATTGCTTCTCAAATGGTTGATTGATTCTCAATTCTCCAACGGCTTTATCAAACATCACATTTTATGTCAATATCAATGGGGTGGACCTCCGTTCTGGGGCTGTTCTGCATCTGCTACGAAATTAACGTCTAGGTCATGTTGTTATGGGCTCAGTAGGTGAAGTGTGGACCAACCGATGGGTCATTAGAGTTTATTACCCATTGGTGACCCAGGGGTTATTGTGTAACATAATGCTCTTCCTAACTGGTTACTTCAGGCTGGAGTTTTCGCTACTCTGAAGTGGATGACTTCTGAGTGGCTGCTCTTATAACTGAGTGTATTTTCTCTCTTCTGTTCTCTCTTTTTCTCTCAGGTGTCGCTAAGCAACAGAGAAACAGAAAAGGGTCTTTCTCTGCGGACCACCGGAGTTCAGATTTCAGCGATACCCACCAACAGAACAGAAGGTAGGTCTCCAACCTACGACACACCAGGGGCTGCACGACTTCAGATTTTTTAAAGTTGTCAGTTTTGTGGTGACACTCGAGTTAATGCTGACTAATCGCTGATGATGTCATGAATAAGACCACAGAAGAAGCAACAAGCAAGTTCCAACAAACTCCACAGGTCAGTAGAGTGTGATGCGCCCTTTCCAACGAACCCTGGATCGCATTGCTAGCCTTCAGGAAACCAGAGATACGGACCCTGAAATCACCAGGCTTGAATTCGCCAGTACATTAAAATCTTTGTGATAATCCAGCACAGAAACACAGTTCAAACATTTCCTTAGTCTGTCGAGTCGCCCTTTCTATTCCACCTTATCATGAGATTGTATGTGACTCACATCTGGAGTTATGAGGCTGTGAAAAGGGCCTGAGATACATGTCATCTGCCTCTCACCGTGTGGAACTGGTGAATTCGTGTGTCCATATACATTTTGTCTGAAACTGACCAATGGACACTCAGGAAATCACTAAAGGACTGACCATCACTCCAGAAACCCTTCATTCTTCATTCAGTCCACATCGGAGACATATGTGAAATGCCGTCCAGAGAGTTTACAGCTGCTGAAGTTGCTGCAGTGGTTTTGGAAAGTAGTGATGAAGATAATAGACCATTTTGATATGAAACATATGAGTATCATGTTATATGAAGAGCCTTTGAAGGTGAATTAGTGGACTGGTCTGTGCAGCCCCTACCGCACACACAGCAATCACACACACACAGGAGGGAGGTTAGAAAGAGGATCAGAGAAACTGTGACATTATCAGTGTGATGTACTGAAATGAGCTGTTTTTCTCTTATTCACTTCTTTCAGATCTGAACTGTCTGACAGTGGATATGAGTGACACAAAGACCAAGTGCAACTCGGTGAGACTGATTCACACTACACTGAGTCAGAATCAGAGTGGGTTTTTTATTGACCAAGGAAGATTACGCCTATGTTTCTTAGCAGTAGCTCACATTAAGACAAACAATTAAATACTATAAAAGAAAACTCTTCAAGGGTTCTTTAGTAAAGTAGTGGTTCTATATGGAACCATGAACACTCTAAGAACGCTTTGCATGCTTAAATAGTTCTTTGCATGGAGAAATGGTTCTTCAGATTGATGGAGAATGTGTAGTATATGGTTCTTTTTGAAAATGGTTCTATATAAGCACCAAAAGGGACAAGCTTGACTTCAAACCCAGGGTTTGGCAACATGTGGCTCCTCTTTTACTGCCCTGTTGTGGCTCCACAGCAGAATTAGATTTTTAAAGGTAAAAATAAAATAATCCTCCTTTGCAGTAAAATAAAGCTCTGCTGATCGCTCTAACACAGTTTTAACAGTAAATGGTCTTAAACGCTGGAGTTAATGCAGAACTGCTAATTCACCCTTTAACTCTGAAGATCAATGCGCAGACTGCTACAACACAAACAACAATCTGTCCTAGCTAGTAGCTAACGACAAGACAGAGAAAAATTTAAGACGAATATCGATAATTTGGAGACAAATGGACTTGTTTGCGTTCATAATCATTCCAATTGGTTTCCTGATACGTTTATTCTGCAAGAGAAGCTGCCAAACACTAAAACGTCGCACGACTGAAGTCAGATTCTCATTCACCAGCTTCTTGTTTTTTCCTGTTCTACCTTAAATGGTGCAGCAATTACATTCTGGTGCCTCAAATACCAGAATTCATTTCTTGACTGGGAAAATTTGAACAAGAAGCTGACTTCAGCCTCGTAAAAAGTAGAAAGCTGAGAGACATTTTACAAGAACTATTCTACTTTTGGAAAAGTTTCCTGTTGGAGATGCGAGAAAAGCAGCAATAGCTGAGCTAAAGCTTAAAGCAGAGCAAAGTAAGTCTCTGTTTTCATTTATATTTTTTAGTCTATACTTGTACATTAGCACATACTGAGACATATTTACAGCCAAGAAGGTAAAACAGACATAAGACATAAGATTTTTTTCCAACAGCAGTGATATGAAATACTGTAACTGAAGCAATTGAGGTTCACTGAAAACTGAACTGAATTTAATGTGGAATTGTTTATTGTAGGTCAATTGCAGAGTTCTTTGTTAATTCAGCACATGATTTAAACATCACTACACTGCAGTAAGATGTCCTGTGGCTTCATCTCCACTCAAACTGTGTCAGAACGCTATGAAATGAAACTTCTGCTCTGATTAGTATTAAAGGGGAATTACACCACTTTTTAAAATTTAATTCAGTGGTTGAGATGTAAACAAACTGATAGGAACAAATTGATGGGGTCGTGATATAGATAAATATAAATATAGCCATTTTATTTACTCAACAGGGTTAGAGTTAGGTTGAAGAAACTGTTCCTGAGTCTTTCTGTTTTGAAGGTCTAAACTGCAAAACACATAAAACCACCAAGCCTTCATTACAGGAACAGATTCGGGATTATTTCAAATGTGAATTAGAGGCTCTTTCCTGTATCTGCTTAGCTGTCTACAGTCATCAGTGTTGTTCTGCCTAACATTCCATTAATGTTACATAACTATTTAAATGTCTTTACATAATTCACTACACAGTTACACAACGCAGGACATTTACATGTGATTTCCATTTTGTTTGGACAGGTTCCAGTCTGCATGTCTGACTTTTTTCTGTTTGTTTCGACGACAGAAAAATTATAGAAAGATGTATATATATAAATATTATATATTATATAAAAGATGTTTTTCTTTCTGAACACTTAACAACTTTTCATCAAATTCCAATCACTAATTCTTCACTGATGTGGTCTTGAGTGAAAGTTTAAAATCTGCACTTTCTTCATAGTTTCTCCACGGGTTTCAGGGAGCAACACTCAGTCCACCTCCTGAAGTGCTCTGAGTGATCATATTTATATTTGTTTTAAATGAGTCTTGGGTGAGTTCACACTCGCATTTTTATGCGCCTTGGCCTCATCCAGATATTATCCTGATACTCAATACACATGAAGTGACCAGGTGTAAACAGGGTCACTGAAACATATCTTAAAAAATCCAAATGGAATTGCATTTCAAACCACCTCCAGATGTGATTTGGGTGCAATTATCAAAAAATCTGATTTCATGTGTTTCTTTGCTGTCCATGGGCCATATTAAATAACCTACAGAAATCTGACAGGTCAAGATAAGATTTCTCACAAATTCACATTACAGAAGCAAATCTGATCTTAATTTAGGAATCTGATCTTACAGCATCTTATCTTCAGTTAGGAAATCTTAACCTACTCGATCAAAGCTGTCATGTTTGTTTCCTAGCAACCAACCATACACACACAGCTGAAACATAAACACATAACCAAAGTAATCAAGCTAGTTAGCCAGGCAGCTACTGTTACTGATTGTACAAAAAAGGTCAAACAAAACTAAAGTGTGATAAACTGTAAGTTGTGAACACTGTGAGAGCGCCCCCTGCTGTTTATTAGAACCTCGCCACTCCCCAGTTTCAGTCTCCATTTCCCAAACGCGCTAACGTTATTCCTCCTAATAAACAGACACATGTTCAGCTCTGTCTCCTCATTATTCACCACCATCACTGTAATATTTTATCAACAACATTAACACACAAAGGTAATAAGAGGGGACAGTGGAGGCCGAGTTTGCAGTGTCTGAGATTTTTAAAACGCAGAGTTAGAAAAGAAAAACATCTCTCAGTGAAAGCAGCGTTTTACAGTATAAATAAATGTAGCCTCATTATGCTAGTAGTGAACTATACTGCCTGACACAGCTGCCTAAAAACGATAGAAACAGACACTTAAACTGAAGTTAGGACACTGTTGGGGTTTATCCTAAAGTTAGCACAGTATTTAGGAGGTTTAGTCTAGTTAGGATGTTTGTTTAATACTGTTTTCTTATCTGGAGTTAATGATGAGATGATGAAGTTAGGAACTGTTATTCTGTAATAGCTACTGTCCTAAATTAAGTCTGTACCAAAGTCGTCATAGAGACTCCACAGATCAGATTTTAGACTTAGGATGTTTCTGTAAAACTTCAAAAATTCATCTGGATACAATCTGAATATGCTAAAAATCAGATTGGGCCTGGCAGTCCGAACGAAGTCTAGGAAAGGGGACAGCAGACTTTTGGAGCAGCGGATCTGATGTTTTTAAACGTTTGTTCTGCGCAGGGTTCTAAGATCAGAACATGCAGCCTGAAGTTAAAAACTCCAGAGAGGACAGGCTTCAGCGTGTGCCTGGACAAAGACCTGCGCAGAACCTTCCGGGACGTTCAGAGGTGAGAGTTCATGCACTACAATCTTGTGCTACAATCTTAAAAAAGACGGTTCCTCAAGGGTTCTTTAGTAAAGGCAAAGGTTCTATTTAGAGCCATGAGTTCTATATAGAACCGTTGGCATAATTAAATGGTTCTTTGTATAGTAAAATGGTCCTTCAGATTGATTGAAAATGTTCAGAAAATGACAGAAAAAGGTTCTATGTAGAACCATATACAACACATTGTCCATTAGTTCTTCAAACTACTGAGAGGGCACGCCAAAGGCCACGCCCACTTTTTCCTCTTGTTGTGAGTTAACCTCTCAGTTGTTTAAACCACTTTGGACCAAAAGTTCAATTTGAGCTTTTAACAACAGTTTGTTGAACAAAAACTGTCAAATCATTATTTATAACGTGCTTTTCAAGAAGACACTTCGATTAATTTGATGAACATGAATAAATATCGTCACTGTCCAAAGAAAAACAAGTATCTCCAAAATAGTAACTTTACAGGAGAAGGCAAACATGCTCTTTACTTTCAATGTAAGGTAATGAAAAGAAGTTTTATTGTAAGTGATTTTTGGAGCATTTCTATTGGTCTGTTCATAATGAAATATTCACACAATCTAAAGCACAGCTGTTGTAGAAAATGATGAATAAAAATTGATACAAATGTATTTGGGTCAGTGACAAATAAGGTTTTTAAAATGACTTTAAAAACATCTTATTAAAAAGGATTAATAAGACTGGTTAAACTGACTGGTTGCACCACCTGACTTTTCAGACTAATTTCAAATTAATAAGGCATCTACTTAGACACCCATAGAAACCTTTATTCTTCAACATGAGTTCATACTTACAATTTTTGAAATAAATAAAAAACATACATACATACATCATCTAAACCACTTATCCTTCTGGGTCGCGGTGGGGTGCTGGAGCCTATCCGAGCTGTCATTGGGCAGAAGGCAGGATACACCCTGGACAGGTCGCCAGTCCATCGCAGGGCAGACAGACAGACATACATACATGGACAATCACACACACATTCACACCTAGGGGCAATTCAGCATTTCCAATTGGCCTGACTGCATGTCTTTGGACCGTGGGAGGAAACACTGCGCCACCGTGCCGCCCTAAATAGAAAACATTATTATAAAAATTCCACATTTTCATGGTTCTCTTGAGGTCAAACAACCTGACATGGTAAACTGAACCGTTCTAACCATGACTCAAACATTGTATTTTTACTAAATCAGTGACTTTGGTGCTGCATCATGAAGGTCACCTGGGGTCTTTTGATGATGCAATACCCTGGCCCCACTTTCATAAAGGCATGTCAAAATAAAAGTCCCTTGTTTCGTGCGGCAGCATTTGTGCGACATTTGAGGAAGTAAAAACAGAAAAAGCAGACAAAAGTATTGAAAACTTTTGAAGTTTTCAAACATAAAATCACACCAAACTGTTTTATTTAGAATTTTAAAACTAAATTACCTTTCTTGATATTTTACTTAATCAACATATATGGTTGGACGGTTGCACTACCTGACATTTTTAGACTTTTGGAGGCAAAAAGAAACTAAAATGAAGTTTATATGGATGCACTGAAAATTAGGTGTTGTTGAAAAATGTGATAATTTATTAAATTATTTTTTGGGTGGGAAATAGTAGACTTGAATACAATTAATGCATGCCATGTCACTGACTGACATACATGTTTTTCATTGGTCAGTGATGATACACACAGCATTAACACAGAGCTGTTTCATGATAAACTACACCTGCACAGGGAGTTTTCTCACTTCACTGAAAAGTAACAGTGACAGTCATGCATAATGCAAATCATTTTAGAAGACACAGAAGTGCCCCCAAACTTTTGAGACGCAGCGTATGACTCATTTCATGCACAGATTATCTGCTGATATGTTCGTGATGAGATCAAAGCTCCTCACAGACTGATTCAGGAGGTTCAGGTTCATCTCTTTCCTCCTCTTTTGCAGTATTGAGATCGAGCCATGTAAAGATCCTGGATACTACATTCAGAAGTCAGTGATGTCCAAGTTCACGTCAGAGGAGGAGGTGGACGCAGGACTGAGCAAGCTCATGAACCGAGGGCTCCCTCTACCCATCAACACCTTCGCAGGCATCATCCCCTGACCGAAGTGACTGGACTTTGATGGACCTTTAGCTGACCGGTGCCATGGCTGCTAACAATTCACGCTGCATTAGTTACCTGACTTAAAGGGAGCTCAGACACTGCAGTGTGTTCGGTGTACTCTACCTATCACACGGCTGGTGTGCGGATTATTCGCAACCCGCACATACACTCATCCCTTTGCCTCTCGAGGAAGATGTTTAAGTTAGAGTTCTAACACTAAAACAGTTATGCTGAGTCTCAGATGGGATTAAAACTCAATCTGTGTCGTCTTTCTTACAGATTACTGACGTTATACAGTCCGACTCCGCTTTATGACAAGCCATTCAATACTGCAATTCTCTTTCCACTCACTGGCCACTTTATTAGAAACACCTGCCTTGCGCATCTACTCACTGGCCACTTTATCAGAAACACCCACCTTGATCTTCTATAAACTGGCCACTTTATTAGAAACGCCTACCTTGTGCTTCCACTCACTGGCCATTTTATTAGAAACACCTCCTTTATAGCTCCACTGGGTAGGTGTGCATTCACAGACTGTGGTCCATCTGATGCTGCACAGTTTATCAGCCATTCTACTCCATTCATCATTGGTCAGTGTCTGACCACAGGGCAGCTGTTGACCACATATTATTTGAATGAAAGTTTCTAATAGATGCAATTGATGCATCAGTTGGCTAATAGTATTGGCTGATAGGGGTGCACAGACTAGTCGATTTGTTGACCTCAAGTGTTATTGCAGAGCAGCAATCTTGACTTCGACTAGTCGCTGATCACATGATTATGACACTAACAACATCGATGCCTCAGAGACGACAGCAGGTGAGGAGTCTGGTGGTTCCGGGGTCCGTATATCTGATTTCCTGCTATCTCCGTCAATCTACAGTGCTTCAAACCTCAGATATTGAACGTTGTTTCCCGAAGACTACAATAAAAAGTCCTGTATGGGTAGAGAGGCGGCATAACGCCCTGTAATCCTGTAAAGTTTAAAGTTAGTTACTCTTATTTTTCTGGCTCTCCGGATCTCCGAATGCGGTTGAGCGTCTCAGCAAGGCTGCCTAGGGTGCGCCTAAGTCGGATACAAATTGCGAGATTCCAAGGTCCGTGTCTCTGGTTCCCTGAAGGCTAGCGGTGCAATCCAAGGCTCACTGGAAAGGGCGCATCACACTCTACCTCTGGAGTTTGGCTTTGTCACAGATTTTAAAACTCGCTTGTTGCAAAGCATTCGCTTTATTCATGACATCATCAGTTATTAGTCAATGTCACTTTGTCTTTCATCTCAAAACTGTCAACTTTAAAAAATCTGAAGTCTTGCAGCCCCTGTTGGCCAATATTGAGGTTCCACCATAGATATACATACCTAGATGCCGTGTTGTCTGCTGTTCTCTATCTGAGGCAATATGTTTGCACGTCCGCCATGTTGGAGCAGTCAAGACCCGCTTGTGAACAAATTCACTTGTATTGAGAGATGATAAGTCTCAAGATTAAATCGACCACAACTTCCTTAATAATCAAACGATTTTCACCAAATTTGTTTTGTTATAATCCTCAGACATAGATTAATCTAGGTTGCATGGACTGCTCTCTGTAGCTTTTATTTTTTTAATAGCTGATCGTGCTAATTAGCCGTAAGACCAGCAGAACAGTATTCAGTCTGCGCCTGATATTAAAAACCGAGTTTAGCGCGAGAAACACAATCATACACATCAGCAAATCCATCAGTGTGTGAATGACTTCTAATCTTAATACATTTAAAAATAAAATAAACTCCCAAAACACAGTAAGAAGGACGAGGCTGAAGTTCTGCCTATTTGCCGGCTTCTTGTTCGAGTTTTCCTGTTCCACCTTAAATGGTGCAGCAGTCACTTTCTGGTGCCTGAAGCTGCACCATTGAAGGTGGAACAGGAAAATTTGAACAAGAAGCTGGCAAATAAGAAGCTGACTTCAGGTTTGTGTAAGAAGATGCTAACGTTAATCTATTATAAATATCTACACGGATTAAGCAATGCTATAACTTAGCTACAAAGCATTAACCATCATTGTAAATAAATAACTACTATATAAAGTTAAGATCCCCTGAATAGACTATTAAATGAAATAAGCTTATTATAAAACCAGAGGAGAAGCAATCACACAGCCATATCTACACATAAACATCACACAAACATGAGCGTGGACCGCTGTGTTCCCTCTGTTATATAATCCTATCCCTTTCTGAGTGTAATATTCTTGAAATAGAATGATTTTGGACAGTATTTTTCTTAAACTGCGGCTCTGTAATGGTACTAAATGCAGTGCAGCAGCGATGTTGACTGCCCCAAAATGGCGGCGCTGTTGACAAGCCTGGCTGGACCCAACGTGGCATCTAGGTATGTATATATGGGTTCCACTGATTTTTCTGTATTGAAAAAATTTTCGTAAATACCCATAATTAGTAGTTTTATTATATTGAGCCTCTGACTGTCAGAAAGTTTAAAGGTTCCTTTAATCCAGACCTCACAATTAGCATACAGAAATCATGTTATAGTACAAAAAAAAGGTTTGAAGTAAACAGACAAAAAATACATAACAGAAACCGAAACTGTTAAGAATTCAGGGTAGCTCCGCCCCCATGCCACAGTATTTGTATTATTTAAGACTGTTGGTGAATCTCAAATGGCTGCTTGCTCCCTATAGTGCACTGCTCTGTGCCTTCTACTGAATCTACTGGAGTGTAAGTTAAAAAATCTGAAATATAGGTATAAAATATCAAGTTTTGTTGTGTATCTGTTATCTGTTTAACACTTTAAAATCCATTTTCATATCAGTCGGGCCTTTATGTTTCTAATAAAGTGGACAGTGGGAGTAAGTGAACATGCACCACTTCCTTCCCTGTGATGCGTGTGTGGTTCTGTAAAGTGTCCTTGCTCTGCAGCTTTTACAGCGCAGCTGAACCTCCTAGAAAGGCAAATTAGCTCTCATGCAGTGAAATGTACTCATACATGCTACAGAACATAATAAAAAGGGGAATTCCACTGAAAATTAGTAAATCTGAGTGAGTGAGTGATGCTGTAGTGGCTGTAGTCGGTGTTGGTGGCTCATTCTGTGGGACCTTCTGGCTCGTCTTTCTTTCTATGCCGGGTATTCTGGGGACTTTCCTGAGCAGGTGCTTCATTTTCAGGAAGGAGCAAACTGGACTTTGATCAAAAACCGTTTAATCCCCAGAGATCTCCTCAGTAAGGAGGGAGGTGTTACACTATAGTGGCGGATTTATAATGTCAGTTTTCATGATGACAGGTCTGATTCTGTTCTGTACCAGCACACTATTTTCTCCTGATTTGTAATATTTGTAAAATAATTGATTGAATTTCTATTTTTGTATGTACCTAAATACTTGCATTCAGCATTTTGCCCTTCCGAAGTAAGACAGTGGCTTTTCTGTCTGACTCATAAAGTATTTTTAAAAGTTACCTGTTTCTTGTTGTCTTTGTGCTCAGACGCGTTTTCAGAACTGTGACTGCAGTGGAATAATGACTGCAGTAAAAGGAAAAGGGAGTTCAAAGTTCAAAAGCCCCTGAAGTGCTGAGATGCAGCGCAACTTTTTAGTGCATCAAGCATCTTTCAGCAAAGGAACTACGAGAACGGTTCTAAATAGAAACATGAACACTCAAAGAACCCTTTGCATGATAAAGGGCTCTTTGCATCGTGAAAGACTGATGGAGAATTCTGTATAGTGCCATAATGGGTTCTTTCATTGTTACAAACTTGATATCGTAACAATAGAAGAACCCTTTTAGGCGCTATACAGAACGCTTTTCAACCATCTACAGCACATTCTCCATCAATCTGAAGAACACTTTCACGATGCAAAGAACCCTTTAATCATGCAAAAGATTCTTTGAGTGTTCATGGTTCTATATAGAACCATTTTCTTTACTAAATAAAAGTGTGTACTACTGTTGTTTTTAAAATACAACTTACTGTTTTTTCTTTCACACTCTTAAAAAGATGCTTTTTCAAAGGTTCTTTAGTAAAGACAGTGGTTCTATATAGAACCATGAACACTCAAAGAACCATTTGCATGCTTAAACAGTTCTCTGCATGGTGAAATGGTTCTTTAGATTGATGGAGAATGCTAAATAAAACTATCTTCAAAAAGGTTCTATATAGAACCATATACAACACATTTCATCATGCAGGAAACGATTTAAGCATGCAAATGGTTCTCTGAGTGTTCATGGTTCTATATAGAACCACTGTCTTTACAAAAGAACTCTTCAAGAACCATCTTTTTAAGGGTGTACATAGTTTTACATTGAGTTGAATCTCTGTATATGAAAGGAAGTAAATAAATCCAATTATTATTATTATTATTATTATTATTATTATTATTAGCATGCATGAACCGTTATTAGTTCACTTCAGTGTAGCTCCTGCGCCTCCACAGGGTGGTGCTGTTGAGTATAAATAGTCTATGGTCTGTCAGTGTGAGCTTGGATGCAGTTGATGTTCAGCTGCTGAAAGGCTCGCGCTGCTTTTCTACCCGGTGTGCGCGCGCGCGTGTGTGTGTGTGAGCGCATGCAGGGTCTGATGGCCTGAGCTTCATCCTGGTGTTACGTGTTCTCCTGATGGGTTGGTGTCACAGTACAAAGGGCTCTAATAGTTTAACAGGTGTTTTCATCCCAGATGCACTTGTTGGTTTCCTAATGAGATCCAAAGGTGTCCTGCTGGACACTAGTGGTGTCTGATGGTAACCATTAAGCCAATTCCCATTAGAAAGCAAAACCATCAGGTTTAAATTCTAATGGTTCTAATGTTTTTTCAGCAAGGTCAGTTTTTTGCTTGATTTAGTGGCAGAAAATTAAACGGTTAAGATGTAAACAGACCGCTCTGAATGAATTTATTCACATTTCGACCGAATTATACAGAAATTTTAAAAATTCGGTGGAATTTACCTTTAATATTATAACAGTTAGTACAAGCACATTCATGCATTATGGCCTATTTAAATTGATGCAATACCCCTCGTCACCATAAGAGGGCACCACTCTCCTCCATTTAGCCTGGCGAGCTTTAAATCGTACGGTTATTTACATTAACCTACAAAACAAATGAGATAAAAGACTCAGTGAGCTATACTTTACTATGCATTATAACTATATATAACTTTATAAATTCTTATTTTCATTATTTTTTTTTGTATTAATACTTAATATAGTATCATTTATAAAATATCTTTGCACTCAGTTTGAAACCTACTCATCTTCTTCACTTCGTTATTTGGCAAGACACACATTTTGGGCACCGCTGAGTTAGACAGACAGAAGCTTTAGAGATCAATAGCCTGCAGCCAATAATCAATAACTTGATCAAGAAGAGACAGAGACATGCAGGAGCGTCACTCCACTGTGTGCAGGGCTAAATTCTGATTGGTTAATGGGTGTAGCGTTGTCATTGGTTGTCTGAGGGGAGTGTAGGGCCCTGATTGGTTGATGGAGAGAGAAATGAGCTGTGACTGGTTGTCTTAGGTGGGTTTAGCGCTGTGATTGGTGGTTAGGTTGTTGCTTAGTGCTCTACAGAGGAGTGATTGGATGGCTGAGGGGATTCAAGGCTCTGATTGGCTGTCTAGTAGGGCGTAGGGTTGTGATTGGTCTCCTGGTTTCTGCTTTGTAAGCTTGTGATTGGTTGTCTGAAGGGATGTAGAACTCTGATTGGCTGTCTGAAATGGTAGGGTTATGATTGGTCGCCTGGTTGTCATTCAGTGCTCTGTAGATTTGTGATTGGTTGATGGGTGTATAATTGTGATTGGTCGATTAATAGAGAATTTAGCCGTGATTGGTTATCTCAGGCCTGCATTAGAGCTGTGATTGAAACAGTGTCGGGTTGTGATTGGTCGCCTGTTTATGTAGAGTTGTGATTGGTTGATGAGTGTAGCGCTATGACTGGTTGCCTAGTTCGCTGTAGAGTTGTGATTGGTCGCCTAATACAGAACTGAGCCGTGATTGGTTGTCTCAGGCGGGCACAGGGTTGTGATTGGCCGTTTCGTGCTCTGTAGGGTGTGTATAAAGTTGTTCACTCGTCGCCTAGCTGCTCTGATTGGTGTCCTGGTTGCCATGTAGTGCCCCTCTGGGCTGCGAATGGCCGCCCGGCTGGTTGCCGGGCTCTGATTGGTCGCCCGGCTAGGGGCCGTGCTCTGATTGGCTGGTGGGTTTAGAACGCGCGGTCCGCTGGGTTCGGTTGAGTAGAAGCGGCTGCAGCAGCGCGGAGGGAGACGAGACTGAGTTTAATATATTTGAAGAACAAAAACTGGATTCTTGTAAAACTGGAAGGCCTGGATTAGAGGTTTATTTCAGCTGCTCACAGTCAAAGGTTTTGCCCTTCGTAAGTCCTTCTTCTGTGGGGATTCTGTGCTGTGTTGTGGCTGAGCTCCAGTGTTCGTGTTGGCGGATTATTTTATCAGGACTGAGGAGGAGGCTGCGGTTAGCGGACAGGCTAACGGACTTTAGCCAGTAAAACACTGTTTTAATCGGAGATGAACTCAGAAAAGGCACAATTTAGCCTGTTTGTCTATTGACTGAGGCGATATATGGGCTATAAAGGCGGTTAAACTCATTTAAGAAAAAAGTTATTTCATCGTTTTCCGTAATAGTGATGATGGTGATGATGATGCCGTTAGCTAGCAGATAAGGCTTGCCGTTCCACCTTAAATAGTGCAGCAGTTAGGTTCTGGCGCCTCAGGCTCCAGAATGTAACTGCTGCACCATTTAAGGTGGAACGGCAAGAATTTCTCCTTGTTAACGGCATCATCGTCATTTTTATTAACTTTTCAACCGAGTCATCATGTATTTAATCTTCTAGGTTGATGTGAGAGACTTTTTGATGTGTTTTTATCTGTGTTGTTGAGTTTTTTGAGCTGTTTGGCCTCAATATGGTGAAGAATCTGCAGCGGTGACCCATTTCTGCTTTTATTTTTAGTCCAGCCTTGGTCCACTCATACGTATCTCTGGCTCTTTTGGGGATTTTTTGCTGTGCTGTGGGTCCAGACATCTGTTTATCTCATTTTTAAACGCTGAAGTGACACATAAATCGCAAACATCAGCATATTCTCCTGATGTGGGCGATATGGCAAGAAAATATCGCGATATTTTAAGATATATATTTTAACGATATGCAATTAGCGTCGCGATATTTAGTTTTTCTTAAGTTTAATAAGACAAAATAGGACATGTGCCACATATAGGTTAATAATAATAAAATTAATAATTGTGATGAGGACGAAGACTACAATGATGATGATAGTAATAATAATAACGATGACAGACATGTATAATTACAGTGGTTTGTGTACAGTGTTTTATAACCTGTGCTGCACTAGATCCACTTAAACAGGCCCATTTATGCTCATTTTGTAGTAAAACATGTAGTTAGTCAGTGTTCTATAAAGGGGTATTCCACCAATTTTTCAAATATTCTGCAGAATTAAATGGAACAGAGTCGTTCAAAGTGGTTTGTTGTGAAATGCTCCATTCTAGAGAAACTTGCCAAGTCAGAATTGTGACAGTGGTGGTGATAGGAACCAGACGTCCTCCTCTAAAAGCTCCCTCACAGAAAGTTATTACATGAAATGGTTATCTTTTGAGAAGTTTTTGGCCTTACAATCCACCTATGGTGGAGGTACTTGCAGGGCATTATGAGGCAGAATAGTCCACAGAGACATTGATTTCAGATTTTCCACTATTTTACCATCATCAACATTCCATAACAAACTCAGAAGATGAGGGTTTGCTGGTGGTTTTGTATAGTAAATAAAATGTCTATATTTGTGTTGTCGTCATGGTTCCTATCACCACCACTGTACAGACATCTGAACCATTTCACACCAAACCACTTTCCATCACTCTGATTACATATCAAACACTCAGTTATACAAAAATATTATGGTTATAGGAACATGGGGTCGCCATGACTGCAGCACAAATATGGCCATTTTATTTACTATCCAAAATCACCAGTGAACATGCATGCATCTATGGAATATACAGAATGTTGATGATGGGAAAATAGTGGAAAATCTGAGATAATAATTGGTATTGGGGACTATTTTGCCTCACAGCATCCTGCATGTATCCCTCCACCATGAATGAGTTTTAAAGCCAAAACCTTCTCAAAACTATCATAAAACAAAGTCTCAGACATCAGGCAGTGTATTCATAACCATTTCATGTAATAACTTTCTGTGAGGGAGCTTTTAGAGGTGGACGTCTGGTTCCTATCACCACCACTGTGAACAATTCTGACTCTGTAAGTTTCTCTAGAACAGAGCATTTTACACCAACCCACTCTGATTGACTTTGTTTACATCTTAACCATCTAATTATGCAGACATTTGAAAAATTGGGGGAATTTCCCCGTTAAAATGTAAACCGAAAGTGGGCGTGGTTTAAATCTAAGGCGCTGTAAGTTTTCAGATTAGTCAGAAATCGATAAGTCTTTAAAGTTTTTAATATTTTTTAATATTCTGTAGTATTGAAGTAATTTGTCCGGTACTGTACTTGGCGCAAGTATGTGAATGCAAATGATGAGGCTTGGTCAAAGCAAGGGAACTCCACCCATTTCCGCATAATTCAGTCGTTCAGAGTGGTTGGAATTGTTCACAGTGGTGGCGATAGGAACCAGACGTCCACCTCTAAAAGCTCCCTTACAGAAGGTTATTACATTAAATGGTTATGAATACACTGCCTGGTGTCTGAGATGCTGTTTTATGATAGTTTTGAGAAGATTAGCCTAAAGTGGGGGGAAAAAAAAAAACACATCTTCATGTTAAGGGTGGGCAATGTGGCAAAAAAGACTTTAAAGACATTTTTACAGTAACAGTATTTTGTTTTCCTGAGGTTTGTGAAGTTTTGGACAAAAAAAAGTTTGACCGTTAAATACTGTTAAAATACTGTTAAAATCGTAAAAAAAAGTAATTTCAGTTCGTTTTTTGTTCAGCACTCTGCTACACTAACTATAACTAAACATGAACCCTTTTCAAAACGTTTTTTATAGCACCATGTAGAGCACATTCTTTTTTTTGTTTGCTAAAGAATACTTGAAGAACCATCTTTAGGAGTGTAATTCACATAAGCTCTGATTTGGTTCTAATATCTAGTTCTTGGTTTCTCTGTAGGTGGCCTGTCTGTAGTTCCTAATGCCGGAGATGGCTCAGCGGAGCGGTCAGGAGGACCCCGAGCGGTACCTCTTTGTGGACCGGGCGGTGGTCTACAACCCAGCCACCCAGGCTGACTGGACCGCCAAGAGGCTGGTGTGGGTTCCCTCGGAACGACACGGGTTTGAGGCGGCCAGCGTCCGCGAGGAGAGAGGAGAGGAGGTGGTGGTGGAGCTGGCGGAGAATGGCAAAAAGGCTCTGGTCAACAAAGACGACATCCAGAAGATGAACCCACCAAAGTTCAGCAAAGTGGAGGACATGGCGGAGCTGACCTGCCTGAACGAAGCCTCTGTACTGCACAACCTTAAGGACCGATACTACTCCGGCCTCATCTACGTGAGTGTCCTGAATAATCCGCTGTAGTGTTACTGAATATGATGATGCACAGATGTGAAGTAGAATAATTCTTTACTGAATCTGTGTTACTGGATATGGTGGACTTGTATAAAATAAGCACTTCTTGCAGACTGTGCTGGTAAAACAGCCTTTTCCATTTTCATATCCCCTTAGCAGCTTAGCCCCGCCCTTTCACGCTGAAGTTTTAAGGAGTGTTTGGCTCATTGAATGAGGGCAGCCAATCAAAACAGAGCTTATTTACATGCATCATTCTTAAATGCACAGTCACAGAAACAGCCTGTTTATTTCAAAGAGAGGTTAGAAAGAATTAAGTTGGCTTTACAAACTCCTTTGCTTTATTTATTTATTTATTTATTTTACTATATTTATTTATTTATTTATTTTTACACAAATGAAGGTTGGAATGTAGAGAAATTAAAATGTGCCTGCCTCTCTCACACTGCCCCTCGCATACATACTAGCACGTCTGCGTATACACACATACTTATTAGCAACCACCATAGTATTGCCTAGCAACACCTTAGCAATCACCTGGGATACCATAGCAATGGCCTAGTAACACCTTAGCAACCTCTTAGGATATCTAAGCAGCAGCCTAGCAACATCTTAGCAACCACCTGGGATACCATAGCAACCCCCCAGCACCTTAGCAGCCTCCTTGGATTCCATAGCAGCACTCTAGCTACACTTCAGCAACCACTTGTGATGCCATAGCAATGATTTAGCAACAACCTTAGCAATTGCCTGCCGTTCCATAGCAACCACCTGGGACAACATAGCCACTGCCTTGAATACCGTAGCAATGGCCTTGTTAAGCCAACTTAAAGGTCATTCTTGTACTGTCCTCTTCTACACTCTTAAAAGAGATGGTTATTCAAGAGTTCTTTAGAAAGAAAATGATTCCATGAACACTTTGTTTGTGTTGCATGATTAAAGGATTCTTTGCATCATGAAAGGGTTCATTCTCTGGAGAATGTGTTGAGAATGGTTCTATATAGAACCTTTTTGAAAAGAGTTTTGTATAGCAACAAAAAGGGTTTTTCTATTGTAACAACATTAATATCGTATCAATAGAAAAACCTATTTATTATTATTATTATTAGTAGTAGTAGTAGTAGTAGTAGTACCATTATTGCTATTGTTATATGGTCAAATGGGATTTTTACTGGGGTTCTGTAAAACTTACAAAAGAACATTTGTGGGCAGAGCCTGGAGAGGGAAAGCAGTTGAAATGTTGAATTTGTGACCTTAAATCCACCAGCTACTCAGTTTTGGTTTATAGGCTGTGTCCCTGTGATCTTGGCCCAGTTTATGGCAAGTGCTCTCGGGAGAAAACAGGAGAGGAAGGCAGAAACGGTCAGTTAAGGAAGAAGAAGGGATGGAGAGTTTCTGACACTGTGTGATAAACTGCTACCTATAAAAATGGACTGAAGTACATCATATAGTTTAAAGCCTGAGTTTTATTTGTGCTGAATGTAGGGATGCATCGGTACCGATACTGGCATCAGGTACTGGGCCGATACAGTCCTCATTAACTTGTATAAACGCTAACGTAGGACGAGAAGGTCTGGCTCAGTTCTATTTCATCCCGAAGGTGTTTGAGGTTGAGGTCAGGGCTCTGTGAGGCCCAGTCAAGTTCTTCCACACTAAACTCACCCAGCCCTGCCTTTATGGACCCTGCTTTGTGCAGTGGGGCTCAGTCATGCTAGAACAGAAAAGTGTCTTCCCCAAACTGTTCCCACAAAGTTGCAAGCGTGCAAATTGTCCAAAATGTCTTGGTCATCGGGGAAATCAGAAAAACAGCCCCATAGCATTGTCCCTCCTCCACCAAACTTTACAGTTGTGTGTAGCTGCTCAGCCATGGAAACCTATTTCGTGAAGCTCCTAATGTGCAGTTGTTTTGCTGACGTTGCTCCCGGAGACAGTTTGAAACTCTTTAGTGAATGATCGAACAGGTGATAGGCACTGTGTGCTTCAGCACTCGCCGACACCACTCTGTGAGTTTGCATGGACTACTGCTTTGTGGCTCAGCTGTTGTTGCTCCTAGGTGCTTTCATTTCACAATACGACCCATTTTACTGCCACTATTTGTCTATGGAAACTGCAAGGCTGTGTGCTTAATTTGATTCACGTGTTAGCAATGGGTGTGGCTGAAACACCTGAACTGTGTGTCCCAATACTTTTGTCCATATAATATATGTTCACTATAATTCTGCAGTGTTTTGATGCAGGGAATAGTGATTGGAGATCACTATAATCATGGTTTATAATGCTCCAATTAGTGATGCAACGGTGCCATTTATTTATTATTTAAATTTTTTTTTTTTTTAGACCAAGTTTAAGGATATATTTTTTAGAATTAGCTGGTTTTGAGTCCGACACCATACTGAATAACCTACTCACACTGAAGTAGCTATTCGTGTAAATGAGTGCAGTGTATATTAACAGTTAAATCATTAAAATCTTGCTGTTTTTAAATGAATTGCGTTAGCTAGCTCTGCTACATTAGTTATCTTGGATCGAGTAGTGATGTAGTGGAGAAGAGCTGGTTTTGTTCTCTGTCAAAAAAAAGCTCTTCTGTACAGCTGTAAGTAAAATAGGTTTCATAGTTTTGATCCTCATCTGTTTCTTTCAGCAGCAGCACTGTGACAGCAGCAATCACATCCGAGGGGTTCACGCTTCCAGTTTTACATCTTGTTCTTGATTGTCTGGTTGAGCTGTAGCTGAAAGTCCTCTAAAGCCAGACCGACACTGTGTGATTTTAAAGATCTTTCTACAGCCTATTTTACAAAGGCAGTAAAAAAAAAGAAATCAACAGTAGTATATAGTATCAACAGTATAGAATATAGTGCTTAGGGGGCAGTTCTTTTCCCTGTTATAGTGTTCTGTAGTGCGCCAGTGTAGGTAACTGTCTTAAAATACAGTCAGTAACGAAAGTAATCCTGAAAAATTAGATTAGATTTGATCAGAGCAGCGCTCATTATGGTCATCTGTCTGGAGACCTGCACCGGCCGGCTGGACTCTGAAGTGATCCAGCGGCTTTGCTAAGGCCTAAAGAACTCTGCAATGTGGTATCACTGTTAGCAGCTAACAGCTAAAGGCTAACATTCTTCACAGGCTAAAGAATTTAGCTGAAGAGGGCTGTTCTTTTTTCTTTTCTATTTTTTTTTCTCCACAGAAAGTTTCAGCTACAGCCTGTTATCTGTACATTGTCCAGATAAAAACTGAACTGCCCGTTGAAGTGAAAATAAGCGCATACCAGAAGCCAGGCCTCCTCCGCCTCCCTAAGTGCAGAGTTACTGCTGGCAGTTTGAGCTTTCACATTTCAGAGAGCAGATAGAAACCGAGAAGCTGAGACGATAGATACATATATGTGCTTTGTTGAGCCAGTTCGGCTGCTGCTGTAGTAAAAACACCAGCCGTGTAATCAATACACATAATTTAGCTTAAACTCTATGTCCAGAAGTTTTGTACATAGCAGCGTTTCTTCTGAATGAAGGTTGTTAATAGTGAGTTTGTGCTGCAGTAACAGCCTATACTCCTCTGAGAAGGCTTCTAGATGTTGGAACATTGCTGTGAGGATTTGATTGAGCATTAGTGAGGTCAGGTACTGATGTTGGATGGTCAGTTCTGGATCATTCCAGCTCATCCCAAAGGTACTGGATGGAGCTTCATCACTCCAGAGAACACAGTTCCACTGCTCCACAGCCCAATGCTATAGTGATTAGGGACCATTTTAGTTCACTATAATAGTGTTTTATATGGGTTCAATACAGTGAATAGTGATTAAGAACCACTTTAGTTTCCTATAATAGTGTTTCCTAGTGCTTCAATGTAGGCAATAATGATTAGGGGCCATTTCTGTTGACTAAATTAGCGTTCTATAGTGCTTCGCTGTAGGAAATGGTAAATAGGGTCAAATATGTTTCCTATAATACTATTCTATAGTGTGAGGGGCTTTATACCCCTGTAGCCCACACTTGGCATTGGGCATGGTGACCCTAGGATCATGTGCAGCTGCTCCAGAGTCCTCATCTGTTAAGAAATTATACAAGCTGGTTCAGCAATGGCTGACACTTGAAGTAGCTGAACTCACTCAGTGGAAGGAGCGTCTGGATACTTTTGGTTATGTGATGTAATAAAACTATGCACATATGTATGTAAGAGCAAAATTGAGCTGTGGTTGTTGCCAAAGAAAAGAATTTACACTTGAAACTGAGTCATGGTCGCAAAAAAAGTATATTCAGCTGCCAGAGTGACATAACCATCCTTGTGTTGGGTGTAATAAGCTGTTAAATTCAGTAAACGGCGTCAGGCCTGGAGCCTTTCCATACTGGTACAGAGGTGTAGGAGGCCGAAGCTCAGCGTGGCTCAGAACTCCAGCAGCTCTCTGCCCACACAGCACAAACCGCCATACAGATCAACCAGCTTCTGCTGATATATATCGTGTTAAAGCAATAGTTCAGCAAAAAAGAATTAATTCTGTTTCCCCACCGTCTTTTTTGGCCTGTTTGGTGTCTCTTCTGCAGTTTATGCTGGAGCTACGAGGTCAATTCTGCCAATTGCACTAAATAGCTGATGCTAGCCATGTTTACATGCTGCCTGATAATCCATTGATAATCTGACTAATGGCTCAATCAGAATAGAATACATCCATGTAAACACCTTAGTAAGAATAGACTAGTCTGATTGGGGCCATTCAGAGTACAGTTTTTATCTGATTGAACGATGTGGGTAATCCTGTAAATAATTTGTTAAGTAGAAGAATAATATCTATGTAAACGCCTGTATCTGATTACATTCCTAGTCAGAAAGTTTAAGTATGTTCTGTGCATGTACGTTGCGTCATGGCAAAATTTTATAACATTCAGCATGGCGGGAGCAGAAACTGGTCTGCAGAGGAGACGAAGTTCATGCTTTGATCTTTAAAAGACAGCGGTGGGACGGATGTCCAGTTCATGTGTCTCAGAACATGACGT